TAGCCAGAAGAGGAAATTATCGAAAAGGATATCCTTTGCTCAGTGTTTTCGTTTTTCCGAGATGTATGAATGAATAATTTCGTTATATTTTTTTTTTATTCCTGTACGTTCTCAGTGGAACATAAGGAGCTTCAATCTAGATGACTCAAGTTTCGGTAGTAGTGGTGTTTATTTTTATAGGATGGGGTTGCCAGTCTCATGTCCAACCTTCCCTCTTTACCAACTTTTTTATTACTGGCTTAGAGAGGTGAAGAAGTGCGTCGACCGGCTACCCGAACGCTTGACCACATGCTTGATTGGCGAGCATTCTTCCGTTGTGCCACCTGCGACTGCTAACGGACTACAAAGTAATATAGTCAAGTGGATAGGGGGAAGTTAATAATTGAATCTTTGTTCACGGAATCACTATCAAACATATGCAATCGAAACGATGCAATGCTTATGCCAGAGATATAGAAAACTGAAACAAACAACAAAAGGGAGAGAGAGAGAGAGGAAAAATCTATAAAGCAAGTTGTACAGTTGCATGAATACACTGATAAATAAATTGTGGTCGAAACGTTATCGAGTTATGAATACTGTATCATTGTCTATTATATCAAACAAAGTTGTCTAATATGGAAGTATATTCTATCACAGTGTCCAAGTTCTAGACTTATATTCACGACATAATTCAACTATCGATAACATTTTCTGCGTAAAATTATATACTACTGGTTGATTGGAGTGAGTAGTTGCATACCACACACACACACACCAACCGGTAGTGTTAGCTAACCAGTGAGATCGAGGTTATCTAAACACCACGGGACAAGCGTTTCGCTCGTTTGATGTTGCCCAACCTCATCAACGATGTATTCATTTTGACTTATCACAGACAGTTGAATTAGTTAAAACCATCTAGCTAGCTAATTGAACGAACTGGCAACACCATTAATCAAATTCACAATTTGCAAATCATTTCTAAAATCTTTCAAAAGAGTGGTTACGGAACAAACAATATTCTTTTCGATAACTCCTTCTTCATCAGGTTCTACAGTTATATATACGTTATAGTGAATGAATGAATTAGTGTTATTCACAACATTAATGTTGTTTAAATAATATTCAATCACTGATAACATCAGTGGATTACAGTTCGATAGCATCAAGATAACACCACAATGAATATCAGAAAAACTAGGAAAGATTATAATACAAGTCCATAAATGTATGGTCTCTACTGAAGGCCGGCCAGGGCAGTAGTAGTGGCTGGACTTGCCTCTTTTGAACACAAAGCACTGGTTGTTTGAGGCGCATTTCAATAGCCTCTGCTGTTTGGAGTATACGGTACCTCGATGTTTTTGGTAATTTATTTGGTACCCGGTAGATGATATTGGAGAAGGACTCTTCAATGCTGGTTTTGTGGTCGGCCGGTTTGCACCACGTGGTCTAATATTGAAATGTTGATGGCTTTTACTACACCTTTACTTGGCCATACTGGGAGATGTTCCCTAGTGAGCACGAAAAATCAAGTTCCTAGAACAACGACCAATCCAACTTGCTCCATAAGTGGAGTTGAATTGGTAGATTCAGTTGGAAGTGGCTAGTCTAGGTACTTCATCTTTCAGTCGAGGAATCACCGTCGGTCGTGTAGTAAACATGACTTGTAGTTTACCAGTACTAAAAGTTGTTTGAATAGATTTTCTCAACTTGTTAGCAGGTATTTCACTAGGTGCGTCACCCTTGAACTGCGGTCTTATGTATAAAGGCTTCTAATTAACAGAGGGAGAATAGTCCTTTTCCGCTTTCTTTGTCATGTTCTTTTTGATAAGAAAAAGGCTTAGACAGCGAAGAAAATTTTCTTTTCGACGATTCATTTTCATAAGCTGTTGTACAATCGTAATTATATTTAAGAGAGAAATCATTAGACCAATCAGATATTAGTAAACTTTGTCCTCGAAAAATGTATTGCGTAATGTAAGGCGTAATCTAGAAGGGACGACTACTTGTAAGTTAGAAAGGAGACAGAAGTTGGCATGTCTTAACAAGTGTGAGATAATGACTAATCAATAAGCTCGTGCAGAATGGACAGGAACTAATGGAAAGGCGATGAAGTGTTTTTATATAAAATCTGTATTAAAAAGGAATGTTATTAATAAAGAGTAATAGTGTTGTAATAAATTACGGATGATGGGAATAGTAATGATAATGAAATAATAGTAGTAATAACAATAATAATAGTGAAGTTATATAATAAAAAAAAGAAGAAGGAAAATGATAGTAAGAAATTTACTCTGGCCACGGTAGGGCGAGTGAATGTATGTAGCGCTTCTGAATGCAAACGTCTGGCTTCAGATCCCAAGTAGCTAATGCTTCAGCTATATATAGATGGTGTATGCGAAGCCCTTTTGTACGATATTGAGGGACTCTGCGTAACACTGTGAAGCATTCATGTTGTTTCAGGATGGAGATGGCAGTATTCTTCTTTTCTCCTCTGGCTAACCAAGCTGGACAGTGCTCCAGAATACGTTTGTGGACTCAGCTTTTCCGGTATACTTTGCTCCACAGGAGCAAGTAAATTGACAAATACCCAATGAGGTGACCAAAAGCGTTATTTTATCCTTCTCATTAAACTGGATTAACAGTCTTATGGATAATGTCATGCATAAGGCGGCTGCTTGGGATGTCTTCTTCAGGCATTTAGAAAGGCAGTTTCTAAGAATTCCTGCTGAAATGTCACCTTTGAATTTCAGGTTCATGAAGAGAATTTTCTTAGGAACAGTTGCGATGTTTGAAGACGGAGGCTTCTCCTTCGTGTCTTTTTGTCTATGAATCTTAGTGGATACCCGTTCTTTAGTAGGGTTTCACGTAATAAATTTAATTCTTTCTCTATCATGTCTTCCGAACAGATTTTTCTGATTCTTGAACTTAATGTACATACTAGGTTTTGCTTTGGGATCAGTAGGACGAAGCTCTGGAAGTTGATAAACTGTCCCTTCCATTTTGGCTTGCGATATACTGATCTTCATATCATACAGTCTTGTCTTCTGGTAGGTAGTAAATCGAAGAATGGAAATCCCATGTTCGATTCACTTTCTAAGGTGAATTTTATTGGTGGGTGTGTTGTGTTGAACGTTTTGAGGAGATGCTCTAAGTCAGATTTTTCATCACAAATTATGAACGTATCATCCACGTATCTCATTTATAAGTGCAGTTGACTTATCAAAGAATCGAAGATGTTGTTTTCAAGACCTGCTATGAAGCAGTTGGCTAGGAATAGACCGAGAGAATACCCCATTGCAACACCATCTTTCTGTACATAGAATTGTTCATTGAATTTGAACTGGATATTAAACGTACTTCGGGTAGTTTATGGGAAGAAGAACTTCTAGGTTGCTGGTTTCGATGCCGTCACAAATGAAGCATAGTGTTTCGGTCAGGGGGATGCTTATGAATAGAGAGCTGAAAGACTTAGTAAAAGATATCAACGTGTTTGAAAGACAAATGCTTTCACTAGAAGACAAGCATATACTGGCTAGATAAAAATACACTAGAAAATTTGGATTTCGCGGATGTTTTGTCTCTAATGTCACACAAATTCGAAGAAATACAGGTGAAAACTAACAAGTTGTCAAAAGTTCTAGGCAGGAGAGATATGAATTAATTCAAAATAGAGAAGAAGATAGAGGTAAAGAAGATAACTTACCGACCAAAAACAACAACAATAACAAGCACCAACCACTATCAGCGTGAGGAATTTGAAGGAAGTCGCTTCTCTCACTTATCTAGGCATCATCATTTCAACTACAGGTAGACGGCACAGATGAGGATGTCAAAGCTAATCAGGATTTGAAAAACAAGACAGACCTTCAGTAATATGAAGTCAGTATGGAATTCTGCTGCAGTCAGTATAGAGAACAGGAATTGGATTTCCAGCATTAATGTTAACTCAATAAGCATTACTAAATGGTTCAGAGACTTAGCGCCCGCCGTTGAGATCACTTCCAACAGGCTACTACAGGATTTTATCAACGGCTGCCTTCTCAGTCTTAAACTTAAGATTGCATTGTATGAAGGATTTCATCATGAGCTGACATCAGTTAGAGAACCACTGGAAAACCTGGGAGTACTGGACGGCTGTTTCGTCCTAGTTTGGGACTCTTCAGAAGCATTCACCCACCTCCGCATTTCGAACCCAGGACCTTCTGGTTACAAGGCGAGCTCGTAGATCGTTGAGCCACTGAGACCCGATCCAATGGTTCTTGAATTCTAACTTCTGCCAGTTCACGGCATAGCGCGACCACACTGAATCGGGTCCCAGTGGCTCAATGGTCTACGAGCTCGCCTTGTAACCAGGAGGTCCTCGGTTCGAACTGCGGTGGTGGGTGTGTACTTCTGAAGAGTCCCAAACTAGGACGAAACAGCTGTCCAGTACTCCCAGATGGTTTCCCAATGGTTCTCTAACTGATGTCAGCTCATGGTGAAATTCTCCATACAATCAAACAAAATCCCTACAAAACCAATACTTGAAAATTAAGATCACACTGCTGACCCGTAAGGATTGACAACAAGAAACTCTGGGAAGGAACCGATCAATAACCTATTGCTCAACAAATATGCTGAAGAAGATGGGCTTGGATTGGCTACACGCTGAGGAGACTACCCGACAAGGAAACGAAGAGCTGAATGTTGGTCCAAGGGTAACATGGAGGAAGTTGTGTCAGACAGAGGTGATGAAAGCTTATGGGCAATCATGCAGTCACCTAGATAGGACTACAGAGAAAAGGATGAAATAAGAGATGTGCTGTTGAAGTCTTATGTTCCTCTAGGAATCCAATGTATAGTAATAATTATAGTATTATACTGTGTACATATCTTATTCCACTTTCTTTGTGTTTTTTTCTTCGATCGTCTGTTAACTGTATCACCTTTTCAGCATTCCGACATTGCTCTAACATCAAATGTCAATTGAACAGTTCATTGTACTGCTTAATTTTTTTCCCTTTACTTTCTGGTATGAAGCATTTACAAAACAACAACTGCATTAATAACAACAACAACAACAACAGCAACGATGATAAAGTTAAGTCACCTTCAATCTTTCTTTACTTCACTTATACTAGTCTTAGTCATTTGAATAGTGTTGTCCAACAAAATACATTTAACATTTTCTAAGCATACTAAATAAGTTATACATATATATGTATTCAGTGTACATTTATGTGTCTTTTAGACGTGACATACAAGTGATTAATGCAATATACCAAATAAAAAAAGAAATTATTACAAATATCTTCTAACTAAATCCGATGGAACCAGCAGAAAGAGTGGGAAGGAGAGAGAGCCTCGGATCTCTCCTTCATTTATAACCACTTAGAATACTCTTATTACCATATTGGAAGTAGTGAATGTAAATCAATGCACTAAAGCTGGGAATTATGGACCTATTGTAATCAGTCTAACTATTGTATTGTATTGTATTGTGTCGCATTGTATCTGTGCTTCTGTGTGCACATACCTGCAAACTAACATGCACCCATATGTGTGTGTGTGTCTTTTCCCCTCCTCTGTTGCATCTCATACACAGACACCTACACAGTCAGTAAACATATATAACGGCGAAGAATATTTTCTGCCCAGTATCACTCGCTATCTTGGCATTGTGATAAAGCCGAAGACGAATTGTTGGGTCCCCATAAGATTACAAACTTATCATGTACACACATTAAATAGATTAAAGATCAAATGAGCATTTAAACAAATTATTATTGATATATCATAAATAAATAACTAAAGACAAACTCAGTTTACGTCCAAATCAATAATAATAACAGCAAATGAAACTGAATCTCATTCAAAAATTTGTCCTACTACCTATTTTGATATTGACTGTGAACTTAGTAAATGGTAAGTACTGTTGAAAAAGAGACTTTTAAACTTCAAAATCCCTTCAATGCTAGTATTTATTTTCATTTCGTTTTTAAAATTTCTACATAATTTAGATGCAGGTAATTGAGTTGAAATTTATTTACATATATATGTCTAAACCAAGTTCACTTTTAACAGTCTGGAAAAAATTTAGGCATTGAGTATATGATATTCATTATAATAAAGGTTTTTTATATTTCCCAGTGAATGAATGAAAACAAAACGATATTGTTGTTTTTACTGACGTTTCGCTATTTAATTCTACTAATAGCTTTATCAAAGTAGTAGTATTATTAAACCAGAATTTACAAAATCTCTGCTTATGTACAGTAATTTAATCTCAGATCTTTAGCGTGGGGTTAGTTTTATGTTGTCAAGTTGGTTAACTGGTTAAGATAACAAAACCATATGCTGTTTGTTGGATTTGATAAACATGGTTGAAAATGTATTCCAAAGAAATGAGCTTCAGCAGTTGTTATTCCACATAAATCAGAAACGTCGGATGATACCCGAAAGGGTACTCAATAAACACAACATCAAAATTTTCCTAAAAACACCAGAACCTTGTTCATGTAGAAGGCCGAACTCCAAATGATTCACAATCCAATTGTGCCTTTAAAATGAAATGCTTGTATTGTGATGTGGTAAACACTGGAAAAACCTCTCGATCAATCAAGATCAAAAGAAATGAACAGCGTAGAGCCGCATCTGTTCGACCAGCTGAACTAGAAAAGTTTAGAAAGTCATCAGTCATAGTTCCATACGCTATAAAATCAGGTTACAAAATTGTTTATGACATTATTGAAATCATCCAAAACAGAAATTTACCCACAATGGAATCATCCACAAATACTTTAGAAATTACAGATAGAATTTCACCTGGTCCAACGCCCCTCTTTCCTATGAAGCGATAAAATCACCACAAAAGTGATAAGCAATTTGATTATCTACTTCACAAGCTGTTTTCGTAATTTCATACGCTTATCAAATCCAACAAACAGCATATGGTTTTGTTATCTAAACCAGTTAACCACCTTGACAACATAAAACTAACCCCATGCTAAAGATCGGTGATTAAGTTACTATACATAATCTGAGATTTTGTAAATTCTGGTTCAGTAATACTACTTTGATGAAGCCATTAGTAGCATTAGATAGGGAAACGTCAGTAAAAACAACAATATCATCTTTTTTCTCATTCATTAGAAAATACAAAACTTTTCTGATAATAAATTTCAGTGTTCGGTTGAAAAAATAATTACATTCGATTGATGAAAGTCGTTGTAGTATCGACAACTGACAGTAATCAACTTTCTCCTTTAGTTCTTTTCCTCGAGATTAGTTATTTGACACTGTCGTAAACCTTTTTTGTCTGTTCAATTCTTAAAACCAGTCAATGGAAGCATTCAAAATCGGTAAACTGTACATATTATTCTGTTTTGAAAAGATAAAGATCGTTTTTTCTTCAGAGCTATCTGAAATAATCAGTTAGATCTAAGATGTACTGATACTTAAATTCCAACAGCTTTAGCTTTAACAGCTAAAATAAGACTGAATTATTGAAATAATGGAGAAGATTTGTAACTCAGATGGATGATTGTGACTGAGTTGTGTTCACTGAGCTGGGTGGTTTAATTTCCAAGCTTTCGTTATCCTTCCAGATAACCTCTTCAATGTGAGCTTTAATATTAAATATTAATAATAACACAATTAAATCAGAAACTCGATTGTTACAAACAGTGCACGGAAAACAAGTAGTGCAAGCTTAAATAGTCCTTGAACTATAGACAGCGGTCTTATTTAAAGGGTGAGATAATTAAAAGATTTTGAAAAAGTAGCTTCTAAAGATGATCTTACAATGGCTTCAGGCTGTTACTATTATTATTGTCATTATTATTATAAAATCTATCGAATATGTTGGCTACAAAGACGTCTGAAGACAAATTTCAAGGCGGAGTTTATCAACAGTATGTGTGATACAGAGGGCTAAATCTACCAAGATATTTATGATCTTAGCAAAGTGGTAATATGTCTCGAATTACAGCATATATATATATATATATATATATATATATATATATGAGGTGAAAGTATACCTGCTATCGTCTAAAAATGAAGTCCTAAGATGTTAAAATACACCTATAAGCATTAAAATAAAGTATGAAGTAGGCTTTCGTAGACCAGTGAAATCCGTGTGTAGATAACTTTCAGCGCGTTTACAAAAAAAGAAAAGAGATTAAATGAAATAAAACAAGTAGCCTAGCTTATCAAGAAGTAAAGTAAATGTATATTTCAGAAAAAATGGTAACAGTTTAACGAAAACTAAATTGAAAGGGTATTTCAGATGGTTGGAATTAATTAAGAGGAATCCTTGGATTTGACTTTCAAGTTTATTATCATTCGTCACTAAGGTGTATCGACTACAAAATCTAAGGAACTGATGCCACCTGCCTTCCTGGCGATTCGGATCTCCCTCACCTACTGCAGCAGTTACAGACGTTACCAGTCAGTTTGAAAAAACTGTCAAAATCCATGAATTTTCAGGAGAAGAACTGCAAGCTTTAATCTTCAATGTGCGCATTTTAATCCCACTTGGATCAGAATTAATCAGCCTTTTAAAATTAACACAGATACTTTCCAAAGCAAACTTTGAAGATCTAATAGAAAGAACTATCATGAATTGTGCAAATTTAGCATATTGTCGTCTTAATGTATTAAAAAGGATTTAAATCATAATATTTCGTTTTCTTGGTGATTATTTAAACAAATGTCTTAAATTCTCTGAATTATTAAATTCAATTCATGTAGGTATATTTCTCATTAATTCATTTTAGTGAGTATAATGCTTATTACCAAAAAAGAGATTCACATTCGATATGATAAACTGAATTAAAATTCCTTCGTCGGTGGTTTGGTAGTAGGACAATCGCCATTTATGCCTAATCTGGTCCGTGGTTCGACTCCTGGCAGACGCCTGCCTAAACCTCGTACATCTGTCAGCAAAGCCAGTAAAGAGAGGAGGTTGGTCATGAGGCTAGCAACCGCAACCCGGCACTGCTACTGGAACTTCAAAGCTGATACTTGAAGCCCTATATTCTGCTCGGAAAGCATAAGAAAGAACAGTTACCGATGACATTCACTGGCTATTGCACTATATGCACCACAAATTGGCTAAAGTTGAAATTCATCGGCCACTGGACTCCATACCAGTGACTGGATAGTCTATGAGTTTGCCTTGTAACTGAAAGGTCCAAGGTCCGAACTCTGGTGGTGCGTGGGCACTCCAAAACAGTCACAAACGTGGACGAAACAACTGTCCAGTACTCTTTGTTTTTCTAAGACTCTTTGAGTGACCTCATACTTGAAACAAATCAAATACCTGCAAACTGACTTGTGAAAAATAATAACGTTAGTAATAATAAGGGTAGGATACATAGATCAATTGTTCTTTCTATAAGAGGGGAAACGAAGACTGTGATTTCTACTGCAAAGCAGCTGATAGTTACTCCTGGTATGTAAATCACTTCTAAACAATCGCAGTGTAGCTTTGTTTAACCTCATGATTGCAAATGGCATCCATCACAAATATTGCGCTCAAACAGTGAAAATATAAAATAAAATTAGGACTCATAGTTGAATGAAAGTGTATTTAACAGTTTTTATGTCAAGTGAATTTTAAACGGGTCAATGGCACAGCAGTAGAATCCTCACCAACCACATATGTGGTAAGGGTTTCGATCCACCAGTCAATGCACTCCTAAACCTCGCTAAAGAGGGTAAAGAGGGAAGGTTTGGCATGAGGCTAGCAACGTCATCCCGCAAAAACAGATAAACACCACCGCTACTGAAAGTTCACGTCTCTAGCTTGAAGCCCTATGTTCCACTGGGAACGTAAATGAATAAATGAAGGATTTTAAACAACTTTACAGTTTAACTTTGTTGATATCGGTTAAATAATAATGATAAATATTGCATGAGTCTATGTGCCTATCTACACCAGTATTAATAAGTTCGCTTATTGGTATCCCACACACTCTACGAACAGCTTTTTGTGCCCTCCATAATGTAACAAAGTCTTTCTTAACCAGCTCTGGAAAGACTAAGTTGTGAAAAGCAATAAGGAAGAATAGGTCGAACACTGCAAGAATTAACAAACCATAAAAAGTAGAGACTGAATGATACCAAATTTTCCTAACTTTCTAACACAGAACGTAAGATTAAATCTCTTCCTAGAAATTAACATGATAACAAGGAAGACCAGGAAAGACCAGAGGAGGCAAATAATCCAAATGATTAACCAACTTCTGAAAAGCTTGATTCATAATAAACAAGTAGACCTACCTAAATTGTATTCAAAATTAATTAATCTTTTGATTTTCATTTATATGAGTAAAATATATAGATCCTGGATAGGTCTTGTGTTTATTGAGTGATTTCCCCACAGCATCCGCATAGTTAAATGCCCCTCAAGCACATGATTACGACACAACCTAACGAGTGAAACAATTCGATGCAACAAACATTAAAACATTCCTCGTGGCGTACACAATGTACTTAAGTAGACTACAACTTAAAACACTACTTTCTACAAGCTAGTAACTATTAAAATGTTATAAATGTCTTCGTCTTCGTATCCACGATCATAAGCTAGCCGTCAAAAGACATGATATCCACTCCCTCGCTCATATCACTACATACAGACAACCACGGACATCAATCCAACTGGGACAACCAACGTTCAAATATTAGACAGTTGAAACAACAAGAATGCTAGAGAATTTTTAGAAGCCAGCCTGGTATTCCGGTGAATTATCAGTCAATAGCCACATCGAGATAGAAAAAATTTATCAACCGATAAGAAAGAAACCTCATACACAAAGGGTCAAAGCTCAAGTCAAAGAAACAATCAGTTTCAGTACAAGTAGCTGCCTAGAAGGTGTGAAAACACACAAAAATAACCAATCACGTCCAAGGTGGTCAACTGGAGAGATGATTAATAAACTTGTGGATAAATCTAAAAGCTCCCTTCAACAAATTGAAGTATGCACTGAAGATGTCCCCTAGTAGGGTGATGAAAGCTTCGCAAATTAACTATCCAGCTCAGAGAATACAACCACATTAAAATCATGCACCTGAGCTACAAATCTTCTTATCATATCTAAATCTAGATTCGCTTATAAATTCGTTGATGTGAAATGATTTTAAAAATCTAACACATCGTTTTTTACACAATTAGGTATACGCATATTTAATATAATTGGTTTCACTTTGTATATGATATGAAGTATTTGTGTTATTTTTTTAAAACTGCATTCCATTATAGCACAGATATCTTCTCCAAACGAAGCACTTGGCCCTCAAGGTCCAAGAGGTGATCCTGGACCACCTGGACCTGAAGGTGGGATTGGAGCACCAGGTCCTCGTGGTCCCCAAGGTCCACCAGGTATAGATGGTGAACGAGGACCAGCAGGACCTACTGGCACACCTGGTACACCTGGTCGTGATGGAAGACCTGGAGTTCCAGGAGTACAAGGTTCCCCAGGACCTCAAGGAATTGTTGGACCACCGGGAGAACCTGGAAGTGAAGGAAGCCCTGGACCACAAGGCTATCAAGGTCAAGCAGGAGATAAAGGTGATACTGGCTTTGATGGACACAAAGTAAGCTTTCTCATAGATGTTGATTTTTATTTGCACTTCAAATTTATGAACTTTCGTAAGATTTAGTAACAGTTTCCAAGGTTACAGTTAACCTTCAAGAGAGGATAGCTCAGAAATATTCTTAAAAACACTTTTAAGCCATCTGATGTACTTGAAGTAGACTTATCTTCCCATAATAAAACTTTTTAGGTGGTTAATGGCACTATCGAATTTCTAATCTAGTTCATACTGATTACATAACACAACGTACGAATATTACTATGAATTTCTGGGTTGTCCCTAAAATATTAATTTTTAAAGTAGTTCAGATTCTCGTAATAAATATTTTCACTTATAATCTGGCTTTATCCCTACATCATTTCCCCTTATTTCTGCGGGAATTGGATCAGTGAACCACTCTTTAATGGTACGGACATGAATATATATTTTTTGTTATTATAGTGGTAAACCATTCAAGTTACGTGTTGACCTTTTACGTCATTGTAAATACACAAACTATTCTCTAAGAACACAATATTCAGCGAAGAGACTATTTTCAACGAATTCATTATCAAGCTGTACAATCGTATATAAATATATGGTTTTTTTTAAGAAATTATATCCGGTGAGGGAATTCGGTCAAAGGTGTGAATACATGAAATGATAATAATAGTAGTATGAAATGCAGTTAAAATATTTGTGATTATAATCATAGTTTAATGTCAAGTGGCAAAATAATTAATGTCATATATAGAATAATACATAAGGTGTATAGATTTAGGAAAGGGGTACATAATTATGGGATTAGTAGGCGAATATAAAATGTTACATAACATGGTGTGAAATTTGATAAGATAGAATTCAATATTGTAAAAATAAAAAATATATAAATTAATAATTTTGGGTTTAAAATGACAAGTAGGGCAAGTAGAAAGGTTCTGAGTGAGAATAGTAATAATAATAATAATATTAAAAAATAATCGTAGTAATAAGGGAAAGCTACATAGAATAACTGTGCGTCGGTGGCATAGCAGTTAGGACGGTCACCGACCGTGCACATAGTCGGGGGTTCGATCCTCGGCCGACGCACCCCTTTACCTCGCTAAGCCAGAAATAATGCTGGTAAAGAGAAAAGGTTAGGTATGAGGCTAGCAGCCCCATCCTGTAAAATAAACACTGCTACAGGAACTTCAAGCCACTAGCCTGAAACCCTATGTTCCACTGAGGAACGTGAAGGAAAAAACATAGAATAACAAAATAAACAAAATAAATAAATGTCTATCCCTCTACGGCCAAGGAAGAAGTAGGGACTGCACGTACTTCTTTTGTACACAAATGTCTAGCTTAATGTCATGAATCGCTAAGGCCTCAGCTGTCTTTAGAGGTCTGTAACGAAGAAAACGCGGGAAGTTAGCAAGGATTCTGTATATGATCTTGAGATCATAGTCAGGGCTGATCGAGTGACAGAAGTCGATCTGGTGTTCCAGAATACAGCTTCACACACACTTCCTTTCTCCCTCGTAAAACCAAGCTGGAATATGTTCTCGTTGATTGGACAGTCATCAGAAAGCCCTATTAGTTACTATCTAGTATCCAGTCAAAGTATTCAATACGGTCTTTAAAGGAGGTCAGTCGTGAGCCCGAATAACTCAATGGTAACATCTCTGACTGCACCACTGGGTAACATGGCGGTTGTAAACTCAGATGGGACATAAGTTCCTTGAAGATTGAAGAAACGTCTTGCTGAATGGCGATTGACACTAAGCATGAAACCTAGGTCAAAGAGTTCCTGTCGGTCGGCTCTAACCATCTAACAACACAAGCTATTTATTACTATATTCACTATTAATTGGCTGTTTCCATCTGCTGTGTGAAGGATATATGTACTATACAGGCATCAGAATCAACTCAAGTAAAGGTAATATCTGTAACAATGTGACTGACAGTCAGTTTGACATTAAACACGCCTACAGATTCAAGTCTTTTAGGTCAATACTCATGTTTATATTTTTATAAGACGTATTCTGATCACTGATTTTCTTAAAATAGAGAGAGTTTTGTATTCATCTGATAAGGAAAAGTAACCAAGATCTTAAATTTAATATGGTAAACATGCTTTATTTTGAATCTAAGTCGGCTCTCGATAAAAAAAACTTTTAGATTTTGTTTTCAACTTTTAAGTGTTTCAATTTTTATCTATTTATAAATGTAGGGCTCACAAGGACCAATGGGACCTCAAGGACCTCAAGGTCCAATGGGTCCTGCTGGTCCCCCGGGGCCAGTCGGTCCACCTGGACCACCTGGCCCAAGAGGTGAATCTGGACCGACTGGAAGAATCGGTGCAGTAGGACCACAAGGACCAATGGGAAGTCCTGGAAGACCAGGATCATCTGGACCTGCCGGACAAAAAGGAGATCGTGGTTTGACTGGTGCTAAAGGAGAGAAAGGTGAAAAAGGTCCAACTGGACCACCTGGACATCCTGGATTGAGTAAAGAGCGAGGGATTCAGGTAAGTACTTACAATTAAATGAGTTTTTTAATGTCTAACACATCATAATAATTTTTGTCCCATGGACCTTGTCCTCTAAGCATATTAGCATATACATATTTTGGATTATTTACCCAAGCAAAATATTACGGGTGACTGTATTCTCACCTTATTTTTCAGGGTGAAATAGGTCATGATGGCCGTCCAGGTGTCCGAGGTGAACCAGGTCAAAGAGGACCTGAAGGATCTATGGGAGTATCAGGACGACCCGGTGAGAGAGGTACAATGGGACGTTCAGGACTTCAAGGTCCTAAAGGCGCGCAAGGCGAACCGGGTTCAGTTGGAGTAGAAGGACCAACAGGACCCCAAGGTCCAAAGGGTGAGAAAGGTCAGTTGGGACGTCCAGGTGAACGTGGAGAAACTGGACCTCGTGGAGAACGTGGATTAGCAGGACCAATTGGAATAAAGGTAAAAATGTTTTAAAAAAATTATATGAATAATGATTTACCTCAGTGTCATACATGACAACATCTGATATTCCCACCAAGGGTTATTTTAATTTTAATCCAAAGTTTTCATAAAGACTTTTTAGGGTTTTAAAAGAAAGTTATTAATGAAAGCGGTTTTCTACACTGCTCAGTCAAATGTGTGATCTACACTTCACAGAAAATACTTAATTCCAAACAAAAATTGTATATGTAAACGAGAACGACAATGAGAATAATGTATATTTAAGTGCTCAACAAAATGCAAATATTACTGATGACTACATTTCATTAGTAGAAGATAAACTGGTTACGAGACATTTAATCACACTACTCAACTGCTTTACCAAAGTAGTCAGAACGTTTTTTTTTGGTTAGATCCAATTGATTGTAAGTAACAGACCAGTCGTAAGATTATGTAATTGTAGACTGCACTGAAAGTTAATGAACTAGGCTCTAATGAAGATGTAAGAAGACTAAGGAAGGGTTGAAAAAAATAGTGGGCAAAGGATTGAAAATACATGAAGGGTGGTTTTAGATGTAACCAGTTGAGTAGGTCTTCATTGGTCAAGAGACGAATAATGACTGTACTAATTTATATGCACAACTTTATCAGCTTATTGACACATCCCGATGATTGATTTTTGTTTAACATTTATTTGTAAAGTTAAGTATCAAGGGCAGTTGGCTTGAATTTCACTGGCTGAATGGTACACGAGTTCCTCTTCTAACCTCAAGGCCCTTGGTTCGAACCCCGGTGGCTACATACTACTGAAGAGTGCCAAACTAGGACGAAACAGCTACTCGGTACTTGTTGATCGTTTTAAGCGGTTTTCTAACTGAAGTCAGTTTGTAACCAAACTTGAAACAACTGAAATCCCTACAAACCAACTTTTGAAGGTTAAGTATATTAGAGTAAAGCCTAATGAGATCTAACTGATGACAATTTTACTCACTTACCAGTTTAAATGTTAAGCGCAAAATTATTTGACTTGTAACTCCATACCCATTTAATAATATCACTCACTGCTTGATATCAGTTCTAACTTAAGGATTCCTGTTTCGAATGCTCTTTAACTCTAAAGAAATCTGCTGAAGTTTAAGACTGAGTCGGCTTGGAACCAAACCTTGCCTGACCAAGTGAGTATTTAGTGACTATTCTGTACATGATTATAACTTAGTTTCACTATATTTAACGATCAGTGAGAATGAGCGATAAGGAACTTTCTGTTTATAACCATAATCATACTTACTAACTGTTAAGTTGTAAATCCTCATCTTTATCTAAATTTAGTTAAATTAAGGATAAAGAGCAAATGAGTAACTAGCGGAATATTTGTTACGAGATAGTATTCGTCTGCAAAGGCTAGTATCAACTTAATAAGACTATGACTGAAGCTAAAACAGAAGCGTTGAATTACTCAGGGTCTCGAAACCATAAACTAACTACTCTGTATCCAGTAAGATCTTCTTTCATTGTACATATTTTTTTAAGAAACACAGATTGATAAACTGTCACCTTCAGTGTTGATAAGTTACACATATAAAGGCGTGGAAATCCCTAAATGCCATCCAGAAAAAGTTGTCCAGAATATAACCAAATTTCGAAGTTTGGTAAAATAAACGATTCAACAGTTTACACTGTTACATTGATGCAAATTTAGAATGTGAATTCTTACATTCCCTGTATGATCAGGATTAACAGTTGAGTTATTACTTCCTTCAATGCAACATAGATATTTTGTTTTGATACTACAAATATGCAGTATAACAACAATTATAATTATAATATTAGAAATTATTTAGCAGTTTTTGTTACCGGTCACAAAAGCTTTCCCTCCTAACCAGAACTAAGCCTTTGAAAAACTAAGACACAACATAATGTTTCTAACAGCATAAGTTTAAAAACTATAAAATCGCGTTTCAGTGTGTAGTTTCCGACAGATGAAGCTAGCCACCTTTGGATAGCTATGAATTCTAGGTTTGCTGCTTACTCTGAAGAAGCGTCTATAATTTATGGTTTAACTAGAAGTGGTAGAATCCATGCCATCATCCAGTCTGTAGGTGAGGGTTCGACTCCTGGCTGATGCGCTACTTAAATCATACCTAGACGGAAAACAGTGTTGACTGGGTGTGAGGCTGGCAACCCCAGACCTTAAAAAGAAACAAAAATACCGCTGCTGAAACTTCTTATCTTGAAGTCCAACATTCCACTAGAAATGTGGACAATTATAAATAGTTTATAATACAGGTTTGAAGTATACCAGCGGGATATTAAACGATTATTTATACTTTCGGGAGCTAATCTGTAGGGATTTGATTCGTTTGAAGTTTTATCACGGATCGATATCAGTCAGAGAACCATTAAAGCACCACCAGGAAGTATGAGACTTTTGTTTCGCCCTACTCTTTAGGACTCAGTCAGCAGAATACACACCTACCGGGGATTGAACCCAGAATCTTCCAGTTAAAAGGCAACTTTGTAAACCAATTAGCCGATGGCTATAGGACAAAGTTGCCCAAAGTTCTAGTGAGAAAATGTAACCAATGGTAACGTCAACTGGTTTTCATTGCTAAAATTACGAATTTGCTGAAACTAGGATTCTGATTTCATTGAATAAGGTCCAAGTGGTTGAATGATCTATGAGCTTTCTTTGTAATCCAAAGATCCTGGCGGTAGGTAGGTACCGACGAAGAGTTCCAAACTGGGACGAAATAGCTATCCACTACTCCATGCTGGTTTTCAATAGCTATTTAATTGATATCAGTCCGTGATAAAACTTCAGATTAATTATATCCATAAGACGATATAATGTAATAATCTTACATATAACAAAAAATTTTACCGGTTAAAGCCGGTAGACGCAAAACCTAATTTTCCGTTGCACAGCGAAATAAAAGACAATACTTCTGGTTACTATTTATTTTATTATCACTAATTCGACTACTTAAGTACGCCTTTTTCCTATCATCTTAGATATACTACCAATCATATATGTATAATCTCACTTTGTTTAGTGATGCCTTTAAATTTTTTTGAAAATGTATTTAGTTGTCCAAAAATTCCATGAAACATTATTAGGCCTAACTGCATAAAGGAGAATCGAAATCGTCGACCTATAGAAAGGCAGTTTACATGGTGCATTCTTCTACTAATCGATAATTTGGCATTTGCAAAGATTATCAATGGCATAAGGATAGATAGATAGATAGGTAGATAGATAGATTAATTCTAACTAGTGGACATTTGTCTATGCTTCTTTCTCTATCTAACTGAAGAGGTGGTTATTCCCTTTCGCGTCTTCTTCTTCCTCTTTTTTCTCCTATCTGTCCAAAAATTATGTTGTAGTATTCTGAATTATTTCACTTAGTCAATAGATTAAGAATGAATAGTTGGCCAGTCTTTTTTTTCGCTTGGCAGTTATTAATGGGCTACGATGAAGAATCGCTATAAAATTTCAGACTAATTACGATTTTGTATTCTGGGTGTGTGTGTGTGTATGTGTTGGTGTGCTGTCATCAGCGATTCGGTGTTCCATCTGATCATTTTGAAGTGTAGAAAAGAAAAAGGGATACCTTATTTCTTATTCAACCCAGATTAGTTCGTCTTTTTGATATATGAATTAGGCGAACACAAATAAAAGTTGAAAGTTTCCTAAAATAAAGCAAAGGTAGAGCTGATTATTATTTCATTATTATTATTGTTTCCTTCAGATCCTAGAGGAAAATAGGGCTTCACTCGCACGTCTGCATTGCGTTCGGTTCTCTGCCAGTGTTTTCCCCTTGCTTAACGTCTGTCCACATGCTTTCATCTCCTCTTCACATGACCTCCTCCCCCAAATCAACCTCTCACTAACGACCAACTCTCCGCTTCCTATTCGGGTCCCACTCGAGGACCTGTCTAGTGATGTCACTTACTTGATAGTTTTCTCAGAGTATGGCCAATCCACCTCCATTTCTTCTTGCTTATTTGTTGCATAATCAGTTCCTGCTCGGTTGGTTTGCTCCCAGAGATCCCACCCTGTTGCTGATCTTTTCTAGCCATCTGATTTTGAGTATTGAGCGAGGACAGCTGTTGATGAAGGTCTGTAGTTTGTTTGAGGTGCTCTTCATGATGCACCATATCTCTCATCCACTAACTTCATGCTGAGGAGTGCTGTTGATCACCACACAGACTTGAGAGTAATGAAAGCTTGCATTGCTTTCCCGATCTTCGCTTTGATTTCCTCATGAGTTCCATGCAGCTGTAGTTGAGACGATGCTTCCCAGGTAGGTAGGTAGGTAGGTAGAAGAGGTTACGTCTTTCAGATTCCTCCCATTTATGCTGATTGTAGTCTGTTGTTGTTGTTGCTGCTGTTGCTGTTGGTCAGGAATCTTCATCACCTCTGTTTTCTCTCTGTTCACCTGAAGTGAAGTCCTTTCTTCTCTGGATGCTTCTTCTGCCAGCTTGTTGCTTTTCACTTGGCATATCTTCCAGTTTGTGGGGAATCAGACATATATCATCGGCGAAATCCAGATCCTCCATGTATTTTGTGTGGGTCAATTATTATTTCATGATAGAAAGAATTAGTAAATCAATCTTGAAATCAGTCACCAATCAATTGGTCTTGACAACTGGTCTGCTACCCACTAGCAACTGACTACAGGATGTAGTTGCCTTAAGTTATTCTGTTGAAAAGTCACAATCAGTGGGATCCACCAAGTTGGTGGTGGTAAGGGAAAATAATCGCCGACGATATTGACTGATGGTCATACTACACATACCGCGAACTGGAAAAAGTAAGAATTGATGGACCGTTGGATTCCATCCCAGTGACTGAATGGCCAACAAGTTCACCTTTTAACCTGAACGTACTGAGGTCCGATCGTGGGCTGGCAGTGATGAAGAGTTCTGAACCAGGGTTAAACAGCTGTCAAGTATTCCCTGATGGTTTTATCAGGGGTTCTATAACTAAAGTTGGTTCGTTCGTTATTTATCTTGAAGTCAAAATACAGTAAATAATTTCAAAATTTTGACAGGGCTGATTGACAAAGCTTTGTATGAAGAAATGGTTAATTAATCGTTTAAAAAAATATCATGATTGTGAAGTGATCAAAAACGATGGCCTTCAGATTACCATCCTGTCGTGGCTACAAGTGAAGATATAAAATTCGAATACTGGTGATGTCTTAATATCTCTACTAAAAACAGCTAAATGGATTTTTCTTTTTATTCCTTTACGTTCCCAATGCAACATAGAGTTTCAAGCGAGAAGCTTGAACTTGAGGTAGCGGTAGTGTTTATCTACTTTTACGGGGTGGGATTGCTGGCCTCATGCCCAGCTTTCCCTCTTTACCAGTCTTATTACTGGTTTAGGGAGGTTTGGGAGTGCGTCAGTGGCCTGGGATCGAACTCCTGATCACATGCGTGATTGGTGAACATTCTACAACTGTGGCACCGACGCGCACATAAATGGATTGCTTTATCTCATTCTAAGCCGAAAATAAATAGAAGCAGAGGACAGGCAATTAAAGCTGAACTTTGTATTTGTCATTTCTCAGTAGACAGACATGTACAGCTCACAAGCACTTTTACAATGGCTTACACGTCACTATGATCAACACTCAATTTCGTCTTTGAAAAATCAGTCATATCTACCAAATCATAATAGCCTAGATTTTTAAAGTATTAAATTCTACCACATAAAGAACTATTTCTCTTGAATTTCCGACTGAATTCGATCATGGCCTGCATGTTTTTAGTAAAACATGGCAAGGTTTTACTAATTTTTTATGCAATTTCTTAAATAATAACTAAGTTAATCACCAATCGCTCGACGAAGCCTTGATGGAAATTTTAATTTCAACCAATTTAAACCAAAAAGTATTTAAATTATGAAATTTATGGGGATTGTCGACTAATTTCAATGGTCAGGTTATCGTCATAAACTAATATTGGTTGGAGAGGTAATTCAGAACCAATAGTATGGAGTACGTGACCGCTGTTTCGTCCTGAGTCATTGTAAACCCACGACTTCACTAGGGATCACACTCGAAACCTTCGGATAACGAGACTAATTTCGCTGACCTTTCAGCCACTAGGGCTAGAATCCAATGACCCTTGAATTCTAACTTCTGTCATTTCCTTACATAGGGCAACTCTCACCAATTCCTTTGATGAGTATCTACATCACCTTTACACGGTCAACCCCACTGGTCATAACTTCTCACTTCATCCATCCAGTAGCTATCAATGAGTTGGCGATTGATAGTTGGTTTGTGAGTGAACACTAGTGAAGAGCCCCAAAATAAAACGAAACGGCTACCCAGTACTCCCTGCTGGTTCCAGTAATATCTCTAACTCTAAAAAATGCAAGATATATTTGTTGAACTACTCACGTAGTTGTTTAAATACAACGTCTGTTTCCAGTGGCCTAATGGTCTACGAGCTCGCTAGCTTTGTAACCAGAAGGTCTTGAGTTCAAACCACGGTGGGCGCGTACTGATGAAGAGTCCCAAACTAAGACAAAATAGCCGTCCAGTACTCGGTTCTGTAACTGATGTTAGCTCATGATGAAATCCACCAACGAATCAATCAAATCCCTACAAATCGACACTTGAATAAAAACGTCTGTTAATTTTTCATATTCATGAAGTGAACAAGATCCTTCTAAGCTGTGGGTGAATTCAAATCTCACAACAGTGTAGTGGATCAGGTTGATACACCTGTTTAGCTAATTTTTATGACTGACAAGTGAGTTGAACCACGAATCTGATAGTGAATACAGATTTTAATATTTTAAATAGGTGATGCGAATATTGTGAATATAAAAATATATTCATTCGCCAACAATTAACAAATATCCCGAAATTCTAAGCTTTATAATTGGCTTTGCCCACTGTGGTCGTATGTAATTCCATACTAATTTCTTTATGGGATATATCCCACTCACAGTACAACAGTATTATCTACTGAATGACGAAGTTTTGAACACAATTCATTACTGTTCATAATCATGCCATCAATTGTGACTTCACATCTTCGAAATTTGACTTTCATAGTTCATAGTTCTTCCTATTAATCGTAGGGTGGTAGAAACAACTTATGTCAGTAAGAGGATTCTTTGGGACCCATTCTGTACTGCTTGTGACTGTTTCCTAGATAGTTAAGCCATATATCCGCGAATCCTATTTGCACATGCTAAGTCTGCTGTGATTGGTCGGTGAGTTTCTCAAGGTTAGGCTTTGTTATTATTTTTTCTCATAGCCCCGATTCAGTACGTAACGTTGACGTAAATTGCTGTCCACAATTTTTGGCTTGCAGCTAGCTCTCATCAGAGTAGGACGAGGTCAGCTGGACTATCAGAGCACTAAAATTCGGCAAAATTTAGATTAGTTGACCGTAATAAGATAAGAAGTCTAGAAAATAACTCAGCTATATCAAGACATACAACTTTACAAAGGGATCGGATAAGGTGATAGATTGATAACGGAAGGTTTACTTATTGAATCACCTGATAATATGCGCAATAGGGATGATTCAACACCTATCCATCCGGACATTTGGGAAATTCCACTACTCCTATGAGGAATAGAGAAGGAAGGAAAGAGACTATAGAACAGAAGTTTCGAAGTTGTGTAGTTATAATTGATATAATTATGAACAATAAATAAATCGTGTTCCGAACTTCTCCATTCAGTGAATAAAACTGTTTTAAATAAACAATTTAGTATAGAATTTATTGTTGTCCAAGTTACAGCCTTTGCCTAACAGAGACGTTAACGTAAATGTAGGTGTCATGCTCACTGCATCTTCAAGAGACGATGTCTTTTCATAGGAGCGCACCTATTTACCTCCTAATTGTTGGTCTACTCGTGCCTCCTTTTTTGTAATTCATATTACAATTTTTATTATACTTAATAAATTGAATACAAATAATATCTTGGTTGTTTATGGTATGAAAGGAAAGCCCTGTTGCCATGGTTTTCCAGTAAACATACAAATCATCTGAAGCGTCAACATTATGGGAGTTCTTTATTTAGCTCAATGATATGAAATAATACGGTAATGTGTACTTGACATGGAGAAGTAGAAATTCAAAGAAGTGAACCCAAAAAAGTTAACAACATCTCAGCAACATTCTTTTGTATCCAAAATGGTAAACTATTTGAATGGAATTCATGATACAATGAGACGTATTAAACAATAAATAAATAAATAGAACAATAACCTACCTACTCTGGGTAATCCTTATCTTATTACATAACCGGAAGTGATGTCAGTGGTCATCCAACTTACTCTTATATTCCCCACTGGATTTATTGAAACAAACCCCGTCATCATCACACAAGTAGAGTTTTTGTCCAGTACACTGAGGACATTTTTATTTTTATAGGAAAAATTTAAATATCCCAGATAATTATTCCTTGGAATCTTTTAAATCCTATATCTGCACTCTTTTGAAACTTTAAGGGTGCACAAGGTGAACTCGGAATGGCTGGAAGCCCTGGAAGTCCAGGTCTTGATGGACAGCCTGGACTTGCAGGAAGTCCTGGAGAACCTGGTGCTCCAGGTGAACAAGGTCTTCCAGGTCCTCCCGGCCCGCCAGGACGTCCAGGTCTAGATGGAGCCCCAGGTGTTCGTGGTGAAAATGGTGCCCATGGAATGAATGGAGTGCCTGGAGTGAAAGGAGGATCAGGACCAGTTGGACCGGTTGGTTTACCAGGAGCAAGTGGAACACCTGGACATGCTGGACCAATGGGACCTATGGGTCAAGTAGGACCAAGAGGACCAACAGTAAGTTAAGATTTTGTGAAATTAAATTGTAACTATAATGCTAATCAATATCTTAATTATTTACCATTCCAAGTGCATATAATGATGCGTTTACGGTATAGCAGTTCTTTACATTTCGTTTGCATAGATAACCGAAGTGTTTCTCATACAGTAGCAAATCTATGCACTCAAAAAACGCTTCATATTGAGATAGGACGACTTTCTATTTAGAAAAAGAGATTGTGTAAGCATGAATTTCAGCAGATTTAGAAATTCAGTTATTCTCCATAAGTATGCAGACTGTAAATGGTAGGAATCTCCTGGCAAAGTCTGGCAGCTGAGTCAGAGTGGATCACTATAAATTATTTAAAATAATCACTTATTCTCTCTCTCTCTCCCTGTAACCTATTTCGGGTTATCCTCGCTTTCCAATTAGAAGTGACATAATGAGATACATTTTTCGTCTTTGTCTGAATGATTCTGGCACATAACAAATATTACTCACGAATGAGACTGGTAAATCCGGAATGAAGAAACTAACAAATCCGAAAGAAAAAATCACTGAATGAATGTATATGGCTAGGAGCTACGTGGTGAAGAAGCTAAAATATCCAATAAATGGGTTTTTCAATAATCTACAAAATAAATTCCATATCAGATAACTTAGTGGAAGGTGACTAGGAGCGGAATCCAGCATGTGGATTTCGCCTTATTCGGGACTGAGTCAGTGAGTGAATGAGTCTTCCTACCACGACTAAAACCCAGTACCCGTCGTTTCGAACGTCAAGTTGTTGTCCACTAGGCTACTACGGCCACGAGAGCCGCCTCTTGTACAACAGGTATCAGTTATTATTTGTTTTAATTCAACTGGACTGAAATGTTTGACTTGTGTATGGAAGTTCCCCTAACTCTCAGTGGGAACACCATCACTCACTGGGGAGAGCAAGTACATCTAGGTGACGAATCACAAATAGGACGAAATGTACATTCTCGATCTAACCGCTAGTCACTATCCATCAAGCTACTTCATCATGTTAATCCTGAGACGTCGTCAAAGTGATCGTACTGGCAGATGATATGTCAACAGAGGCAGAGAGTTTCGATCCAATAAACCGATGGGAAAATCAAAAGTAAACTAAACACAAATCCATTTCAAATGCGTTTATTTGATGTGATAATGCAGGTATAATATCGCAATGAGATGATTGTAAGTGACAAATCGTGCCTGGAACACCATTCAGTTATTAATACAGTATTAGTGAGCATTACAATAAATAATCTTATCTAATATAGGAATAATTACAGTGTGCCAAGGTGCCTAAAGTCTACTCTCATTTTAGAATAAATATCCCCTGTTTTAACGAGTCTGTTTATTGAATACAGGTTCATTTTTATACACAGATGTCTTAAACACAACTGAGGCAGATATTTCCAGGTATTGTTTTAGTTGTTTGTATGGAGAGTCATACATTTCCAAGGAATACAATGAATGCTTGAATATTTTGCATGAAACTATATACTACTGACTGGTTGATATAAGTAGTTGTGTTCTATTCATATCAACTGTAATAAGATTTCAACTCTTAGAAATTTGCAGGCTACAAACTGCATATAACTTTGGAAATGGTGAGTGTGATTTACAATAACACCATTTTTCCCAAGTAGAGTAGCTAAACAGAACTGATTAGGCTCTCCGAGCTGAATCATACTGGGTGCATCGCTAATGATCTTGACCACAAACAATCGAGGTGGTCTTACCGTGGTTAATTTGGTTTCTGTTATGGTGAGATTTCAGCTCTTCAAACTCTGTAAATTACAAATTGTGAATTGCATTTAATGCTTGCATAGTTAAGTGCTGGACACAAGTAATACATTCTGCAGTAAAAGTTCCTCCGTGCTTAGTAATCCTAGTATGAAATGAAGGTTCGTTTGAAGAAAGCTACTCTGAGAACGATGAACTCAAGCAGACAAAAACGATAAGATGTACACAGCAGATAGATTCATTTTGCTTCATTGAATCGCATCAATAGTAAGAGTATGAAATAATACTTAAGTGATGAGCTTAATATCTTAATTAAAAAAGTTTAAAATAAATCAATGAGTCAAGGAAATAATGTAAGTCAGAAATAATAATAATAAAAGATGAAACTGTAGTAGTTTAATGTATGTATACACAGAACTCAACGGATAACTTGTAGGAGAATTAATAGCGAGCTGAGTAACTTAACAAATATTAGAATAAAAATCCAAGTTAGTGAAACAGTATTGTAACAGTTTACGAGTTACATATATTACTGGTTACTCGGTGATATAGTTAAAGTCCACTGCTACAAATTATTAATATAATCCACAGAAAAGTTCACTGTTAGAGTCGTGTCTACTAGTAGAAGCTGTGCACAGGGTGTACAGTAGTCTTCGGATGAGGATAAGAGGTTCTTGCAAAATCCGAAGGATACGACACAGTTAGTAATGAAGCAAGTAGATAGTATGGAACAGTGGGAAGACGAGGCGTCGAGCAGCACACTGTATTTTTTCGACTGTACTCCGAAGTGATGTATATTTTACAATGAATCGTTTTAAACAAAAGCTATGTACAACGTCTCAATTTTTAACATCTAACAAAAAACTGAACAGTTATATTGTTACAGACCCCAAAAACTAATCACTGGAGTTGGTTACATTGAAGTCACATGAGTGTTACATTTTAGAGTAAATATGAATCTATATTATTAAATTCCAGGTAATGTACTATAAAAAAAAAATAATATTATAATTTCTAAATTTATTTTGCTTAAAACTATAGGGTGCTATAGGACCTGTCGGTGAACAAGGACTTAAAGGTGCAACTGGATTACCAGGTGGTCATGGTGACAGTGGAGATATAGGTGATCCTGGACTTGATGGAGAAACTGGACCAGAAGGTCCTGCAGGTGCTGTTGGCCCACCAGGCCTACCAGGTCCAGTAGGAGATCAAGGTCCTGAAGGTCCTGTAGGTGCTTCTGGACCACCTGGACCAGCAGGTTATGATGGTCCACCTGGAGTGGATGGAAAAGATGGATTGGCTGGCAAGGATGGCAAACCTGGTCCTCAAGGCCCACCAGGTGAACCAGGTGCTGTAGGCAAACCTGGTCGAAGAGGTGATCGTGGACCGCCTGGACCACAGGGTAAAAGAGGAAAAAAAGGTCAAGAGGGTGTAATGGGACCACCAGGAGTCTATGTAAGTTATTTCTTAGTGTAATAAATATTATCATATTTAACTATTTTAATGAAATAGTTGTAGTAATTATATCACTTTAGTTACTGTCGATTTTTACTCATATTGTGTGAAAATGTTCATGATACTTCTGTCAATATGGATCACGATTACATCACTTTCCGTCATGCCTCCAATGAGTGTATATATTTTTAAAGTTATTTACATGGCGAATTTCAATTGTCCTTGTATACAGACGAGCATGCATTTAATATGAAGTAAGCCAGTGGTCGACTGTGGTTGTGGCGTGTGCTGTGGACAGGATTTATATATATATATATATATATATATATATATATATATATATATGCAGATTGATAGGAATCGGAGAAAACTAAAATGAACATTTTAAGTCATTGGCTGAAGAAGGGGAAGTGTTTATCCTTCAAATCTGGATCTGCTTGAAGATGTGGAAATGAAATAATCTCATTGGACAACTTGCTTACCACTGTTTAACCTTCAGCCAATCTCCGACCAATCAGAATAATTTATTGTCCACTGAACTAGCCAACTTGTAATGTGGTTAAAAATAGATAAATATTATATGTTTTTCCTTAACAAGAGAGTCCGTTACCGATTCTTGGATCTTCTACCATTGCATGGTGATAAGCAGTTATTTCCTACACCAGTGTAACTGCTACATAAGGGAAAGCTGCACATTTACCTACTTACTGTTTTGTCAACTGAACCAGACTAGGAAAAATTTCATAGGCAGCCAAGATTTTTGGTTTTTTGGCCTTCTTGATATGAAATATGATTACCTTGTTAAATTGAGTAGTAGCACTCATTTAACCATGAGTTTCATTATTACCTCTTTCTCATCAGTCTGGATTTCACATGTGATTCACTTATAAATATACAATCCAGCACTAGCGCTGTGGAGACATTGTTGACGGCTTTCACAATGTTAGCTAAAACACCAACTAGCTTTTTTCATTCTTTCGAGACCCAACTGGAACACGGAACTGCAAGCTTTAGCTTTGAGGCTTCAGTAGAAGTGGCGTTTATTTTTACTGGGTAGGGTTCTTGGCCCTCTGTCCAACCTTCCTCCTTTACCGGACTTACTACCCAGTGAGTGAGGTTTAAGAGTGCGTGGGCTGGGAATCGAACCCTACGCCAAGTGCTCAGTCGGTGAGCATTCTATCACTTAGTCACCCATGTACCATACTTTGTTATCGAAATATTAAGTAATATTTCCACCATAACTAGAATAGATTTTGAATCATCCCTGTGTAACACATTTCGCTCTGATTCAGTAAACTCAGCTTCACTTTCTCAAATATTCCTTCCTCATTTTCGCTAAGTCCTTATTAAAACTTACTATCTTTCAATATAATTAATTATGTGAGACAGAATACATTACTTATAAGCTCTCCTACTAAAGGTTTCTTAATCCAGATTCAGCTGCTTTTTGTTTTGAACAAAGCAAGAATAACAATTGTACCAGGATGATATTATGGGCTGACCTTTTATTATTTCGAGGATTCTTCTCGACTGGTTACAACCTGGACGATAAACAAAGCATGAATTACATGTTGTAATTATTTGTAATCGTTGTATTAGCATTTCGAGATGACCGAATTACGAGAATCCAACCAGAAAACAGAAAGGGAGGAATTCAGGAATTTGTATTTAGCGGAATTCTAATGCAATTCATATAAGAAACATAATAACAATCAACAGTAAGTATTTAAACAATACAGAGATAGAAATTGTCAATCACCACATCCGCCACACGTCGAATATCTCCTTGCGTATTTATAACGATGTCTCGGTTTGCTTGCAAGTAGCTTCGACCTAACTGATTCTGTGATATTATTTTCATCAGTATTATCTGGACTTATTTCTGAATTATCTACAAAATCAGGATTATTAGCGGAATCATTAAAATAATAATTGGAACGACCTACTTCATTTATTGTCACTTTGTCCAGGTGTCTGTTATGAACTGAGTGATCTTTGATGTCTAATATCTTCACCACTCGATTTCCCATTTTTTGTAGTATAATTCCAACAGAAGGTCTATAGTCATTCCCTTTGTAATAATGTACATTAGAAGTCGTGGACATCAGATGCTTTCTGAGAATTCGAGATTTGAATAGTTTTGCAGGACTTTCATGGGTACTTGTATGTTCTGCATTCAACAGACGCAGTCTATGCATATGCAGCAATTCCTCCATTTTAATCAGTTGCTCTCTCATCTCATTCAGTTTTTTCGTGTTTTCGACAGTTCACATTGTAACTCAGCTACCTCATTTTTGAAAACAGTTGATGCTTGAGTTGCTGAACTTGTAGTGGAGGTTTTCATTGGATGAGATTGAGTATTTTGAAAAGTTGAAAGACACATTGACTCCATTTTACTAGACAGATTGGGAGAATTATAAGAATGCTGAGTAACATAAGTATTCGAACTTCTGCAAACAGTCTTGATGTGTCCAACTTTACCACATTTGTGACACTTAGCACCCCGAAAACGGCAAGTGCTTCGTAGATGTAACTTTCCACAGGATAAACACGGTTTAATGTTTTTGATCTCTGGCTGCATTCTATTACCTGTGGACGGCAGTTTGGATTGCTTTCCATGAACACTTGTATTTTCGACTTTAGAAAGCATGACATCAGATACTGACGTAGTGGGAGCAGAGTATTCATTATTGACATCTTCATATGTAATACATAAATCTTTAGCAGTTTGAAAGGTACAAGAAGGAATCTGAATTAACTCTTTCTCTAACTTAGGAATATTGATTCCAGCAATTAGACGATCACGTAGTTGAGTATGCAGCTGATCTCCAAAGTTACACTTTGAAGCTTGAATTTGGAGTTGAAGAATAAAGTCTCTAATCTTCTGGTTGGGAGCACGAACCAGTTTATTGAATTGAGCCCTCTCTCTGGTCTCAAAAGTAGTTACATGAAAGTGATTTATCAGAAGTTCACGGATCTTGTCATATGACAGAGAAATGGGTTTATCTGGAAACGCCAGATTCTTCACTAGGCTATATGCATCTAGCCCAATAGCAGTAATGAAATGTGCTGGAATTTTGTCATCCCGAACGTTCTTTGAAATGCACCACGCATCGAAGCATTCAAGGTAATCAGCAATTTCCCGCGGAGAACCATTTATAGGGAATTTTCCAAGGTTATTTAGTTCCATCGCGACGCCAATTTGTTGTAATTATTTGTAATCGTAGTATTAGTATTTCGAGATGACCGAATTAGAGGAATTCAACGAAAACACAGAGAGGGCGGAATTCAGGAATTTGTATTTAGCGGAATTCTAATGCAATTCATATAAGAAATATTAACAATCAACAGTAAGTATTTAAACAATACAGAGATAGAAATTTTCAATCACCACATTACATTAAAGATTTGAACATACTTTTCCGCGATCATAAGGAGTAATTGGTAGGAATTGGTAGGAATAATTTAACTAATTAGGAGTTACAAACACTGACTATCTATAGAATAATTAGACAATTACGCTTGGAAACAAAAAACATAAAAGTTTTGTATTTTGTTTTCACCAGGGCAGTGCAAGATTAACTACTGTCTCTTTCCGCGTACATAGATTTGGTTTAAGTCGTTTGATAGCATTTGCTTCAGCAAAGCGTAGCAAGCTAGGTTTCTTTTGCTTGTTGATTATTTTGAACGACTTCAAGTTGTCGACAATATGACTAGTGTCCAACAGATGACGAGCAATCGCACTGTTTAATGCTTGCGGTCCTTTCAGTCTCAGGTTCTTTGGTATGTGTTCATAAATGCGGACACTAACCCTTCTCTCTGTTCTTCCAATGTGTGTGCTTTGGCACGTACATGTAAATTGGCACACACAATAGGAAGTAACATGAGGAGGGTATTTGCCCACTTTTGAATGTCTCAAACAACTAGTTGTTTGATAAACATATACAAGCTTGTCGGTTGGTTATGCTCTTTTCAGGGCAGCGTTCAGTCTGCATCTTATTCTACTAGCAGTATCATCACCTTTGAATGCAAGCTGCAGAAAGATAGGCTTTTTATCTACTGCGCTGCTTTTCACTTTTTCAACATGACGTGTCCCATACTTGTCGATGAACTTTTGTGGGTAACCGTTGTCGCGTCGGCACATCTGCTTGTATTGTATAATTAAATATAACTTGTCAAGCTAATCTACAACTGTGATATCTTAATAAGTAACTATGAAGAATTTAATAAGCCAAAATAACTTTGTATAATAGATTCCAGCAGTATATTATAAACGCGGTTGTCTACGGTAAGTTGACAAGAACACGTATAGGTATGACTAGGCTCACTACCACATAGTGTACACAGGGACGAAAGTTTTGATTGATCATTGTTATACTAAAGCTTTTTATTGTTATTTCTTGTAGAAACGTATCCAATAATAGTAATGGTTTAAAATTTCAGTTAAAAACCTTGATTAACTTCCTCAGTTATTCATTCTTTCTCCTACCATTACACATGGTTTAAGTGCAGATTATTTCCATATTACTTTATTGTCTCTTTTATTTGCATAAAGGGTGTTATCGGTTTAGTCGGTGTACCTGGTCCAAATGGAGAAACTGGAGTTGATGGTGCAGCTGGTGATCCAGGACTTCCTGGCCTTCCAGGTACAGATGGTCGTCTGGTAAGTGTCAGTGAAAAAAATGAGTAAATTGTTTGAGATTTCTCCTTCTAGAAAACTGTACAAAACTCAATAGTCAGACTTGTTGAATTAACAGCCGAATTACAAATACATACAATGACCAATAACCTAGTAATGTAGTAGACATTAAAGTTAAGCATTGTTTAAATGCTTTTGGGCTGAATGAATAAAACTCAAATTGTGAAACATTTATATCCAAAATATTTACAATGACTGTTAGAAAAATAATTACAGGGAACATAGCACCATTTCCCACTTTTTACTCATTCACTTTTCAAAATTCACTTCACATTCCAACTTTAGGTTTTGTTAGAAGTTTAGTAAAACATGAGATGCGACTTTAAAAAAAAACATTTCACTTATTTTTCGGCCAAGTAATGCAGTAAATCCATTCGGGACCGAATGGAGCATATGGTTCCAACACTACACTTCCGTTTCCTCCTGTTCTCTGAAGTCCTTTTTTAGCCGACTTCATGATTGCCCATAAACCCTCATCTCCTCTTCACATGGTCCCCGCCATGATTAGGTTCTATTCGAAGTTATGCCTTGGGTACGTTGTCACTCATTGGTCTCCTCTGCATCCATGTCCAATCCATCTCTACTTTCTTCGGCATATTTATTGGGTGATAAGTTATTGATTGCTTTATTGGAAAAGTTTCGTATTGTTAATCTTTTCTGGCCATTGCTCCTTCAATATGGAATCAGCGACGAAAGCCTACAAGTAGCTGTTGAAAATGCTTTATGTGATGTGCATGCCGAGTATTGGAGCCACACAGAAGCCATGAATGAGTTGACATTATTGTTGTTTAAAACGCGAATCTTGCTGTTTACGCCAAGTGCAGCAAATTTTTGCACTGATTTCAGATTAATGAAGGTTTGGCCTGATTTCCCTACATTCTGCAGGACTTTAACATTCCTATTCGAGACACTGCTCATAGTTGAAACAATATCGCCTAGATAGATGAAAGAGGTAACTTCCTTCAAACTTCTTCTGTCGACAGTGATTGGTGCTTGCTGTTGTTGCTTGGTTATCTTTATCACCTCTGTCTTATCTACAATCACTTCGTTGATTGGCTCTTCTGTTAACTTGAAGGTTTTCAACCTGTTGGTCTTCAAGATTGTGTGATATTTTAGACTTAAATCACTAGCGAAGTTCACATCTTCTAGAGTACTGTTGGTGGTCCAGCTAGTTACATTAACTTAACTGAATAAATTAAAATATTATTAGATTAAATACTAGTTAAGTTCTTATGCAGTTTAAACTGACCACAGAGAGAAAGAAAGGTCAATAAGCCTTTTAATCCAGTAGTTCTGATTGAATGTCTTAAAATTCGAAATAAATTGCAATTCTTTTCTAATTCATGTACCGTACAGAAGTCATTAATAATAATAATATTGTACTTTATTCTAAGAACAGTACTTATGATACAGAATGGAATTCTCAGCATTTCTCACAATATTGCATCTGATTTACTTGAAATATAAATAAAATTTAAAATTAAAACAAAAATAACCAGAGGAATTTGTCCACGCTTACGATATAAAGTCAAAAATATTCGAAGCATGAATTGAGAATATTAAATATAATAATAGTAATAATAATAACAGTGAGTTTGTTTCAAACAGTACTGTCGATTCAGTTTGGAAATTTTAGCATGTTACTATAGAGTATTGAATCTAATGTTCTGTTGATATAGCAGCATGGTGAGTGGAAATACATAATTAACAGTTATAATACAGCTTAAATGATTTTAAGACTTATGAAAAAATAAAAACAGAAAATTGAGAGGACTATAAATATAAGAAGAACAATAACAATAAAGTTTGATGTTGTAAGAGTGCAGGAAATGGTTTATTTAGTAGTGCAAAGATGGTTAGTTCGTTCAGGCCTAACGCTATTTTCATCACCTAAAGTACGTGCCAAATATGGTATAGTGGGACTTTTGTACTTAGACGTACGTGCATAAAGTCTTCTGAAAAGAATTCTAGTTTTACCTGATGACGCACAAGGTTGGAGCTGCGGGTAGAGTGGGTGCTCACAGTCTGACAAAATTCCTTTAGCAAATTTGTTGCATGACACCAAGTGCCTATCAGTGACAATGTCAACGATATGACCCAATAGGATACCACTCGCCTTACTGACTGACAGTCTTCAGAGTTCTACGAAGTATGACATAGTCTTTTTTAAGCAATCCAGGAAAGAATAAGCAAGGGTGAACAGTTAAGAAGAATAGGTAAGATGTACGAGTTGACAAACTGTAAGAGGAGGAGGGGTTGAGTTATGCCTTAGTGCCTTAACTTCTTAATGTAAAAAGTCAGACGAAATATTCTTTTAAAAATCGCTAAGACATGGGAAGACCAGGATAGGTCAGAAGAGAGAAATTGTTCCAAGACACTTAACTTCAGACTTGATTTCTATATCAATATCATCAATTTTGCAACGGTCATAGGAATTAACAGCTTCATTTAACTCTATTTCACATCGGAAACTGAAATTAACAGTCTGACATTTGAAAGGATTTAGTTTCAGACCATTTATTGACTGCTGATAGAAAGCTATTCATCTAAGTACAGTCTAGCTGGGAGTTAACAGAAATTGAAATTGTTAGATCATCGGCATACTTAACAAAGTTTATTTCATCATCAGAGTGAGGCAAGTCATGCAAGAAGAAATAAAACAGAAAAGGAGAAAGGATAGCACCTTGAGGGACAACCAGCCTCAGTAAGCAATGAAGTGGATGACTTTCCCTGACATATAGTGTACTGCTTTCTCCCTGAGAAATGCAGCCATTTGGCAACCTAATACTCAATTTGAGTTTCAGCAAGCTTCTTTAACAAAATATCCATAGGTACTAATTTGAAAACGGATTTGTAATCTACGAAGGTGCAGCGAACAAATTTAGCCCCCTTGTCTTAACTGGAGACAATGTTAGATGCAAGACTGCAGCTGCATCTAAAGTACTAGACATACTAAAGTACTTCTACTGTGTCTGTAGGCGAATTGTTTGGGATCGTTAAAGGCTTTAAGTGAAGGTTGAAGATTAAGTAAGAGTAACTTTTCCATAGTTTTTAGAAAAGGAGAGGTAATAGCAATAGGTCTAAATTTAAAACACCTTCCAATAGATGACTTAGGTATAGGTACAATTTTTATGTCCTTCCAAACGGCTGGCACGACATATCTGGAAAAAGATTCATTAAATATTAAAAATTATTGACTATACATTTTAAAATTATTGATTACCGCGGAATAAACCATGATTCTTTTGGATTTCTTTCTGTAATGGCGTTTAAAAGGTTATCATACATTATATAGACTTAAATTCTGATTATACTGTGAAGTGGAAACAAATAATCTTTTGTACAGTCTTATATGTCATCACTGTTCGGAGATTTTAATTCCCCTGAGAACTCAACGTGTAGGTCTTTCATGGCTGAATGTTGAGTCAAAGGATTAAAACAAGTTGCTACGATTACCTATTAACTTTAACAAAATAAAACACACTCTACTTGTTTATATAATAAAACTATTTCTTGTTTGTGGTTATCATTAACTTTTACCTGATTCCAGTCGGTTAGGTCTGGATTGTATAACTTTAAAAAGATAATTACTTGAATGAAGGAAGAGGTATTGATACTATTTGCATCATTACTGGACATAAAACTTGATGTTTGCGGTCAAAATAAAAATAATTATTATCATAATTTCTAAGAGTTGGTCAATACGGACTTGATTTGTTTCAATTTTGTTCACGGATTGATGTCAGTTAGAGGACTACTGAGGACTACAGAGTACTGGAGATCTGTTTCCTCCTAGTCTGGAACTCTTCATCAGTACTCAACGATGACCTCACCAGGAATCGAACCCAGGGCTTTCAACTTACGGGGTCGAGTTCATTAACTATTCAACCGTGAACCGGTTGAAGTTTCCTGGAGTTCTAATGTGTAGTCATGAAGACAAATAGTCATGGATGACATTGGCTGGCGTTCATGCTATATATCACGAATCGGAAGAAGTTAGACTCGGTCGATCATTAGTTTCCGCCGTCCCAGTGGCTGAAGGGATTACGAACCCGAATGTTGTCTGTTCTAACCCTGGTGGAACCACAGAGGCGTAGGCTTATATACAGGGCTTAAATTTTAGCTTATCAATGAAATTACATCTAGAACTTTATGAATCTGAATTTTTTTCGACTGGAAAAATCATTAAAGATTACTCAGTGAAATATGATAAATTCTGTTACAGTTGCTAAGACATACGCATCACCAAGCCGAATGACATTATCAGAATATTTTAGAAAATATGACAAACATATTTACTGCTGCCTAGATATTTAAACAGACAGCATCAAATATGCCGAAACAAGATTAATTATGAGTTGATAATTTTTCTAATATTGTTAAAGTTCTAATTTCTTACCAAATATAACCCCTTTAAATATTGATTAATCCATTCTTATTCCCTGGAAAAGCTGGAACTGTAATTCATTCTCACCTTTCCTTTCTATTAGGGTTTACGTGGACAACCTGGACTGCGTGGCCCACCTGGACTTCCGGGTGTCATCAAGGTTCAAGCTGCTACCGCTGGTGGGACAGGATTGCCAGGCGACCGTGGGCATCCAGGTCCTTATGGTCCTAGTGGAGAACCAGGAGTGAAAGGTGCGGCGGGAGAGAGAGGGCTTCCGGGTGATGTTGGTGATCCAGGCGATCGAGGTCTATCAGGCCCACCTGGGCCCCCAGGACCAGATGGCCAACCAGGAATCGATGGAGAAGACGGTCCAGACGGTAGTCCAGGGGATGACGGGCCACCTGGTCCTCCAGGTCCATTTGGTGAACCTGGTCCAGCTGGAGAACAAGGTCCACAAGGTCCACCAGGAAATAAAGGTGCAATGGGAATGACAGGTCCTCGAGGAGAAACTGGTCAAAGAGGTGCACCTGGGCCAATGGGAGCAACAGGAGACGTTGGAGAACCTGGTCTGACTGGACCTCCAGGGTTAAACGGAAATGTGGGGAGAAAGGGACCAACTGGTCAGCGTGGACCTCCTGGAGTAAGGGGAAAACCAGGAGAGCCAGGGGAGCCTGGTAAGCCTGGGGAAGCAGGCCCACATGGTTATCCAGGATTCATGGGACCTCCAGGTGAGCCAGGTCCAGAAGGTCCACCTGGTAGCGAAGGCAGTGAGGGTCCACCGGGAGAACAAGGACCACCTGGTAGGTACGGTGAAGTTGGCGAGATTGGTGACCCAGGTGACCCGGGGCCACCAGGGCGTGCTGGACCACCAGGCCGCAGGGGACCTGCTGGTTTCCCAGGTGCCAGAGGTCCACCAGGAGAAGTTGGTAAACCAGGAGAACCTGGATCTGTTGGTTCCGTTGGACGTGCTGGTATGCGCGGACCTCGTGGAGCAGTCGGTGGTGTAGGAGTTGCTGGAAGCAAGGGTGAACAAGGACTTGCAGGTGCTGCTGGGTCTCCTGGAGAACCGGGACCTAGAGGTGATTCTGGACAACCAGGTATTCCAGGAAAAGATGGTCGTCCGGGCAAACAAGGAGAACCAGGCCCGAAAGGAGCTCCAGGTGGAAAAGGACCAATCGGCCCACCAGGGCCTCCAGGTTTGGATGGTCCTATGGGTTATCCAGGTGATCAAGGACCAAGAGGTCCTCCAGGCCCAATAGGAGAAACAGGACCGATGGGCCCAAGAGGTTCACGAGGTGATCGAGGAGATCCTGGTGAAGTTGGCCCACTTGGACCGCCAGGAAGAGATGGTGATTTGGGACCCCCTGGTCCACAAGGACCATCTGGTCCTCCAGGTCTACCTGGTCCACCTGGTCAGATAGTATCAATGCAAGCTCGAGCCTCAAGAACCAAGGGGATAATGTATAGCGATGACCCTGCAATTAAAAGAAGATTTGGAAATATCGCTGCAAATGTGCCAATGGGAACAGTGGATGCTCCGGCTAGAACTTGCGCACACCTAGCAAGCGTACATCCAAACAAACCAGACGGTAAGTTGTAAATATTTTGTGCTTCTGGGTACATTATTAAGTCATTAAAAAAATACGTAAAATGAACTTGAAATTCTAATGTGTTAGACTCCCCTTCAAACAAATCGTTTACAATTCAACATTTGCTATAATTTGCCTTATCGCATTCTCTGGTGTTTCTCAAAGGCTGAGCTCGCAATTAACACTTCCCACTGATGTCTGCTGTCTACAAAGTTTATAATATTGGTATTCAACCTCCAGTTAGTTAGGTTAGTGAATACCCATTTCGAAATGTGATAAGAACTCACGAAACTGGAAATTTCAAACTTGAAACAGATGGATGTCAATCTCTTTTGATTTCTAGAAGTCAATTATTCTATCAATGTCAATCAGTTGAAGCTTAAACCTGGAATACGCTTTAAGTCATATTTGGGACTTGTCATCTGAATATACCTGGATCTCCGTAGGCAATGCTGTTCCTTGTAAGAGTGGAACAACAATGACAATGTTTCAAATAACAGATTGTTATTCAACAACCAACTGAGATACAACCACCAATTATTTAGACTGGTTATTTCGGTCCAGTATAATATCGCATAGCATCATATCAAATTAATTAAATTTGGATCACCTACTGCATTAGCGTAGTGGACAACTCTCTGACATTCGAAACAGTGGACTCTAGATTTGAACCTCATTTAAAATGTTCTCCAAGTACATTCCGCTGATGACTTCCAAATAGAAGGGAATATGCTATCTGCATTGTGCAGCTATCCACCACTAAACAGACAAAAAAAAGTTGAATATTCCCATAATTTATTCAGAACAAAGTAGTTAGAGCGAACAATTGTGGTTTCAATAAATTATTCTTCTTCAGGCTGCTCTACAATTATAAATCCATTCATTTAAGCATACAATAGCCAGCCAGTAAAGGCAAATGAGAATCAAATCAGAAAGTGTATTGTGGAACAAGTATAAGTAAGGTGGGATGGAACAGTAGTCAGTTAGTTTTTAATATGCATAGTCAGTGAGAACATGAGATGAAATAATTTAATGATGTGTGTATATTAGGAAGACAATTGCAACGAAGAAAATTTTCTTTTCCACGAAGTCATCATCTAGGCTGTACATTCGTGTACTTGTATCAAGTGGATGGGAAAGTTTCAGAATAATTTCCGGTTAACGGTCAAATTAATAAAAATTACAACTAGGAATTAGAATGCCATAAGAAACAGGGGGGCGGATAAAACTCAAACAAAGTAGCATCATAATAACTAAGAAGATTTACATTGTGCAATTAGGGGTTAGAAATGTAGAAATGCGCGTCGGTGGCATAGCGGTTAGGACTCTCGCCGACTATGAACATGGTCCAGGGTTCGATCCCCGGCCGACGACGCACTCCTTTACCTCGCTAAGCCAGTAGTGGCACTGGTAAAGGGGAAAGGTTGGGCATGAGGCTAACAATCCCATCCTGTCAAAATTAACACTGCTACAGAAACTTCAAGCCACTAGCTTGAAGCCCTATGTTCCACTGGGAACGTGAAGAAAAATAAACATAATAAATAGGGGGATGGATAAAACAAACAAAGTAGCATCATGATAGCTAAGAAGATTGACATTGTGCAATTAGGGGCTAGAAATGTAGAAATAACAACAACAGACAGGATGTTTGGATAAAAACTAATGTGATGAATAATTGTTTATGCAATCAGGGATTAAATATGTAGAAATAGTAAAATGACAGAATAAACACGAATTTAGGGTATGAAAATATGGTAGTGTAAACAGGGAGGGATTAAGAAAACTTAAAATAACATGAATAAACAGGAAGTTTAGATAAGAAAGGCGATGGGATGGTCATTACTAAAAGAATTACCTGTTTATGATGGCCATGGAAGGGACAGAGGTTGGACGTATTTCTTTTGGATAAAATGCGTGGATTTGAGCTTTTGTATAGCTAGCGCCTCGGCTATCCCTAGATGTCTTGATTTTACTCCCTTTTATAGGTTTGATTGAATCTTGTATATTACTTTGAAAGATTTTTCGAAAGGCACTGAATGTCCTGAACTGACTAGATGTTCTGTCACAGAACTATCAACTCGTTTTCGTTCTCCTTTTACTAGCCAGGCTGGATAGTGTTCATGAGCGTGTTTTTAAAGTCGGCGCATGGTACGGCCAATATACTCAGTTCCACAAGAGCAAGTAAACTGGTATATATATATATATATATATATATATATATATATATCATTAAATTATTTCATCGCATGTTCACATTGACCATGCATATTAAAAACTAACTGACTACTGTTCCATCCCACCTTACTTATACTTGTTCCACAATACACTTTCTGATTTGATTCTCATTTGCCTTTACTGGCTGGCTATTGTATGCTTAAATGAATGGATTTATAATTGTAGAGCAGCCTGAAGAATAATTTATTGAAACCAAAATTGTTTGCAGTTCATTGTAATATCATATAGAATATTATATACCCAATGCCTAAATATTTTCAAACTGTTAAAAGTGAACATGGTTTGAACATGTATAATTGTTCACTCTAACTATTTTGTTCAGATAAAATAAAGCTGGATACATTAAGTTATTGAGTTTGATAAAAATTTCACTAATACTAAATATACAATCTCAACACAAACTGACTTCAGACATTAGTCATTCTGATGTCTTAAACTTTTCATCTGAATGTATTCATGATTACACTGGAATTCAGGAGTGTCAAGCTATCCGGCTAACCGCCTGAGGTTGAGCCACCTTTCCAACCAATTGCTAAAAACAATATTTCATAGACTATTATCCCTTGAACATTTTATTGAGACATTTATTTTGAGTCTTAATGTGTTTGTTGGTAATGTAGTTCATCACTAAAATTTAATACTACATCTTTGAACTAACTAAGCATTATATGAATACATGCATTCTCGTATAATTTACTAGCCTATCCCCAGCCTAAAAATGAAGAATTTTTGGGCGTTCAGCTAGCAGTTCTACCCCATAAAATACAACAATCTCACCGTTAAATGAAATGATCAGGAAGACTACTCATTTCGAAGACGGATGTAAGCCTTTTGAGAAGATAGTCGACCTATGTGACTTGTTCAGATGTAAGCAAAAGTAAGCTTGAAGAGACAGATGTCCGAGATGAGGTTTAATGCTGCCAACGCTGTTCGGATTGCATATTACCGACGCACCACTTAGAACTGAGGACAACTAATAATAATAATCTCAACATCTAAATAATTCTCACTTTATAAAAGTGATTATCGAGACAGATTCAATGTAATAACTTTCACCCTACCTCTTATTTCCATGCTGACCACTTGTAATCGGTTAACTCTTATAATAAATAGGTAATGACAGGTACATATGTGATCAAAATCTTCGAAATGTGTTGTGCAAAAAGATCGCATGCGTCAACACAAATATTTTTTTTATTTTCCTTCACGTTCCCAGTGGAATATAGGGCTTCAAGCTAGTAGCTTGAAGTTTCTGTAGCAATGTTTATTCCACAGGATGGGGTTGCTAGCCTCATGCCAAACCTTTCCTCTTTACCAGCATTATTTCTGGATTAGCGAGGTAAAGGAGTGCGTCGGTCAGGAATCGAACCTCGCATCATGTGCATGGCTGGCTAGCGTCCTAACCGCAATACCACCGATGCAGGTCAACACAAATAAGTTGAATAATTTTACTGTTTTCTGAAATTTGTAAAACCAAAACACTAGCCGTTTAAAATTTAAATATCTGAAGTGTAGCGACCAATACACACTAAGAATCAGTCTGCGCCACACGAAAGACTAGACATTCATAATATTCAATAGGATTACACATTATAATCCTAAAGGAGGTAAACTGCAGGCCCAAACGACTCGGTGGTGGTAACGTCTGTGATTTCAGAAGTGGGTGATACGCGTTCGTACCTCAGAAAGGAGATGAGTTCCTCCAAGGATGCAGATACACCTTGCTGACTAGTGCTTGGGTGTCAACAAGCACGAAATCTAGGTTCAAGGCTTCCTACCCATCACGTTCAACTGTCTAACAACAATCTAGAGTGAACTGCGATGGTGAACCACCTAGCATGGTGACCGAATTGCAAATTTGACTGACAGAATTCAATCTAGACCAAACGAAGGTTCAGATGCATACCAGCAGTTAACACCTAATGTCCAATGAAAATAAATTCTCCTTTAGAAATATATCCAAAGAATGAAAGAATAGAATGTAAACATTCCTCCCTTCGCGTAATTCAATTTTCTATAAGAAACCGGAATTTATTGCTAACCGCCGAAAAATAATGTCGTGATGATTTTTATAATTTTCAAGTATTGGTTTTGTGGGGATTTTATTTGAATGGTTGGAGGATTTCATCATGAGCTGACATCGGTTGGAGAACCATTGGAAAACCAGCGGAAAGTACAGCTAATTCGCCTTAGTTCGTGGCTCTTCATCAGTACTTACCCACCACCAGAGTTGGAGCCCAGGATCTTCTGGTCACAAGGCAAGATCGTAGACCGTTAATCCACTGGGACCCGATCCAATAGCCAGTCCATAAATTTTGACTTCTACCAATTCAAGATATTGCAGCTTTGTTAAAGCCACTGAATGGCAGTCATAGATAAGCAGTTCATAGGTCGATTAAGCGTAAAATCATCCCACCTCTATGCTATAAATAAGATGACTTGATCACATCACAAACCTGACTTTTTGTTAATGTGTAGGTAAAATAATGACCAAGGTTACATAAATATTTATACGGTAAGTCAAGACAAGTCAGTAGATATATATGTTAGACTTTCTAGTTTTTATTTCTTCTTATACATTTCAAGACGAAAAATTTATTTTTAAAGCTATACATCTTTATGTGATGTTTCAACACAATCCCAAACATAAACTTGGACAGAATGTGAATAGCTAAGTATCTGAATGCTATTACTATGCTTTATTCGAATAAAATTCTTAGCTACTTATAATCAATAAACAGTAGTAAAGTGAATATATTTAAAAAACTTGTTTGCTTTTTGACAAGAAGCGATTAACAAAAGCAGTAGTTGGCAACAATCTGGAGTATTCCAGAAAAATAAAAAAAACATTTCAAGAACTATTATAAAGATTGACTATTGAGGAGAACCACTGTATGAAATATTCCCTACACAACAAGCAAACTAATGAATGAAAATAGTAGTTTGTTAGGAGTGAAATTTGAACAACTTGACTTTAAAAAAACTATTGAGGGTTAGAAGCTTTAAAATAAATGAAACCGTGAAGCTAAGATTTGTATCTCTGTGGAAACGTAAACTGGAGGGAATTTGTAATGATGCAACTCAACAGATTCTACTTCTCTGTGTTCGTCTGTCCTTTTTGGAAAGATTCAAGAATATTCATATACCATCAAGGTGCATCTATGGTTCACTGATAGAATACTTGCCAGTCACGAAAGTGGTCCGGGATTCGGTCCCCGGCTGATACCCTTTTAAGCCTCTCTTACTCAGTAGTAAAATCTGTAAATAGAAAAGGTCGGATGTGACTCTAGCAACTCCAGTGAAACTTTGGATTGAAGCGTAAGACCTGTCTTCCACCGGTAACGGTTAAGAGTACATTAGAAATCTAAAAAATAAGGAATAAAAGGTTGAGTATTGTTCATGACACTGTAATAGACCCCTGTCTTTCAGAATGTTATGAATGTGTCTAAAAATGTAGTCGAAAACCCTTCTCTCTGCTTTCATCACTATACGCTATGCAATCTTCGAAGGGCTGGAATCCAGCGACCCTTGAATTCTAAATTTGTCAACTCCTTATATAGCACCATTCTCACTAATGCCTTCAATGAGCATCCTGAAGGTCTCTGGTCCGATTATATGTGATGTCATGGGTATGCACTGATGCAGAATCCGAAAATAGGACAAAACATCTATCCAGTGCTCCCTGCTGGCTTTCAGTGATCCCTCTAACTAATGTCGCTTTGTGATGAAGTCTAAAACATTGATATTAAGCCAAATCCTCGAAAATTCCATAGGCTGAAAATATCATTATTCCGTCCAGTATATATATATATATATATATATCATCATTGATTTTTCTATTTTTTTACAGGTGAATACTGGATTAATCCTATTGGTGATATAGTCAGTAGTTCAGTGAAAGTGAATTGTCGTATGAAAACTAGAGAAACTTGTATTAAACCTAAACAAGACAAAATTTCAGTGGATAAACTATCGCCTTCCCTTGTTGGCAGTCAATTCTGGCTACAACACGAAACTCAAGTGAATGAGGTAAGAAATGATGCTGATGATGATGATAATAAGTAATAGGAAAACTACCTTACACATTTCATTAAAAACATAAAGCTGGTTTTGGAAACTTCCAGCCTTCAGATATAAGTCAACAGCTCAATTTTTAAGAGTATATGTGTTTTAATCTGAAATTTCCTTCTTACTAAAGAAACGCGTTCTAAGTACACTACGTTCTGCGCCGTCAATTACCGATTCAATATGTTTGATGTGAAAACAAGTTTCGCGCTTAAAATAGCATGTGCCTGAGTAACTCACTACTTTCAACATGGCACTATGTTATTACTCTCTTGGGTCCCAAGTGGAACACAGGGCTTCATAAGCACGCCTCAATTTTATTGTGTTCCTTGTAGTTCTGTTTAGCTGGCTCTACTCTCATCCTCAGACTTTCATATCCTCTTCACAGGATCTCCTTCCCATCACCCTGCAATATACTTTCAACTTGTCCTTTCTTGTTTAGGTTCCACTCGAGGTTATACCTGGCGTGTAATGTCACTCACCAGTCTTCTCAAAGTATGTTCAACTTATCTCAATTCCCTTCAACATTTCTGCTGAGCAATAGGTTGTTGGTTGGCTAGTTGCCTGATAGGTTTCCTAGCTGTTTATCCTTTTGTGACTGTCTGATCTTCATTATGAAGAGAAGACAGATGGTGACGAAAGCCTGTATCAGATTGCTGACTATCATACCATATAGAAGCAGTAATTGACTTCACATTGATGTCCATTATCCGAATCTTCAACATACCGTTATAAACTATCTTACTGGACTCTCACCTCTGAAATCGCCATAATAAAAACGCTTATTTAAGTAACAGAAGTGAACTTCCCAATACGGGCCCAGGACGAAATGAACATGTTGAATTCTACTGCTAATCACTAACTTCCAAATATATATATATATATATATATATATATATATATATATATATTGCTTAATCATGACAAAAACGTACCACACATAACTGTCATCTGCAACAGTTTACAAATTAGGAAAGATTCCGTATAAAAATGTAACGAAGATGGCTCGCTGTTCACAAAAACATCAAGCCTGTAAAATGTCCCAAACTTTAATCATCAGAATTATTTTCTGTGTAATTATAACACCGAATTTTTGTTTTTGTTTTCCTGTTTTGTCTATCCATTTCCCATCTAGTTCAATTATGCCATAGATCCAGAACAGCTTAATTTCTTAAAGATAACAAGTGACGCTGCTGTACAACGAATCTATTTCTCATGTAGAGGCTTACTGAATTCAGCATCTAATTCTACTGTATCATTAGCTGAAAGTATTAGTCTCCTAGGCGATGATGATTCAGTGCTGGAAAGAAATCATCCTCTAAGAAGATTTAAAATTGAAAAAGATCAATGTGGAAAGGTAATTCTGCATGTCAAGTGTAAATTTTGCTCACAATTGATTCCTTCTGTTATTATCCTGTATCAATTTATTGTGTACAGAATATATTAATGCAAAATATGCATTCTATATGGAATAACCGATATTCAGTTAGGCTATGCCAGTTGTATTTGCCTGAAGATCCCCATTGAGAATTTGAAACATTGATTTCAGTAGTCTAGCAGCATGCTAAATACTTACCCTGAGAAATTAATCAGGAAGCATGTAGGAAAATGTAAAAACAATTAATGATAATAATAATAATGTCAGTAATACTGATAGTAATAATAGTGATGATAATGACGGCATGCATGAAAAATATACACAAAATGATGACGATGCCAACAATAAGGAATTTAAATCATTAGTAGTACGGACATTTTAGTATATCTATATATATATTCAGGAAGAAAACCCACTCCAACAACAAATATTTAGACTTCGGATTGTCACACCCCATCAGTGCAAAGGTGTCAGTTGTTTCAAGTCTTCTTAGATGGGCACACTCTTTGAAAACGGATGAGAAAGAAAAAGAAGACGAATTAATATCAAACATTATTGAGACTTTCAAGCGAAATAACTACCCAAACAACTTCATCAACAAAATCAACACTGACATTAAGAATGGTCGAAAACGTATCCCAGAAATACGGATGTCAACAGCTGTCATTCCATATGGAACAGAGATGTCAGACGATATCAGAAGAGTACTCAATAAGCTCGACATCAGAGTTGTCTTCAGAACATTAGACACACTGCGAAACAGCCTTGTCCTTGTAAAAGACCAAATCGCTAAAGATTCTTTATCTAATTGTGTCTATAAAATAAAATGATTGGAATGTGATGCGATATACATCGGACAAACCTCTCGAGAAATCCAAATCAAAAGAAATGAACACCTCAGAGTATTTGATCGACCAACCACCGAGAAATCCAGTTAGTGAACAAGAAAAACTTGAAAAATCACCAACCACGGGTCTGCAGGCTATAGAATCAGGCCACAAAATTGATTTTGACAATTTTGAAATCATCATCCAGAAAAAGCATTTCAGAAATCACAAAGAACGTTTCATTTCATCAGAAGCACTTCATATCAAGTGGAATCCAAATTGCCTGAATAGGAATGATGGACTAAAACAGAATTTGACCTGGTTACAACACGCTCCTCCCCATGAAGTGACAAAACCAACACGGATGTGATAAGCAATTTCATTATGTAAGTACACGCTGCTTTTATAATCCGAAACACTTATCAAATCCAACAATCTGCACCTGGTTTTTTTATCTTTACCAGTTGGCCAACTTGACAAAGCAAAAATGACCCCATTCTAAGGAACGATGATTAAGTTGTTATATATAAGCTGAGATTTTGTAAATTTTGGTTTAATAATACTACTTTTATAAAGCTATTCTGTAGCGATTTGGTTGTTTTACAGGGGTGGAGTTGCTAGCACCACGCCCCAACCCTCCCTCTTTACCCGGGCTTGGGACCGGCGAGAAAACTAGTAAGCTAGTAGCCTAGCAAGCTAGTATCTGGCGAGGTTCAACGGTTCTAGGAAGAAAGAAGAGACAAGACAAGGAATGGCTCTCAACGGACACTTGGAAATTAATAGAAGAGAGGAGAATGGTGAAAGAGAAAATGATTCAATGCAAGGACGGACAGGAGAAGGAGACGATGAGCTCAACTTACAAAGCATTGGACAAAGAAGTGAAGAAAAGTGCTAGGAAGGACAAAAGACGATTCTACGACAATCTAGCTACTGAAGCTGAAAAGGCAGCAGGCAAAAGGGACCTGAGGACACTATATCAGATAACCAAATCTCTATCCGGGAAGAGACCAACACAAGCGAAACCTATAAAAGACAGCCAAGGGAAGCCCATTACCAAGGAAGAAAAACAGATTAAACAATGGGCGGATCACTTCAAAGGACTCTTGAACCGACCATCACCTGCAACCCGTCCAGAAATACCAACAACAGCGCGCACACAACTGCAAGTTGACACCAATCCTCCAACGAGAGCTGAAGTCTTGAACGCAATCAAGCTTCTGAAAGCTGGAAAAACAGCCGGACCAGATGGAATACCCCCTGAAGCACTGAAAGCGGACCCAGAGACTACAGCAGACATGCTGACTCCATTATTGCAAAAGGTCTGGAAGGAGGGAAAGGTGCCTACTGACTGGAGGAAAGGTTACCTCGTGAAACTACCAAAGAAGGGCGACTTAGGCACTCTGCAAGAACTGGCGAGGAATCATGCTCCTATCGACGCCAAGTAAAATCCTGAGTCGCATCATCCTGGAGAGATTAAAGGACGCACTGGAGACAGAACTCCGACCAGAACAAGCTGGATTCAGGAAAGGCAAATCATGTACTGACCAAATTGCAACTCTACGCATCATCATCACCGAACAAAGCATGGAATGGCAATCAAACCTCTACCTCAACTTTATAGACTTTGAGAAGGCCTTCGACAGCGTTGATCGCGAAGTAATTTGGAAATTACTCGAGTACTACGGCGTACCCCAAATATTCATCAACCTTATTCAACAGCTGTACGACAACGGCACCTGCCAAGTGATCCACAACGGAAGACTCAGCGAGGCGTTTGGAGTAAACACAGGAGTCAGACAAGGGTGCCTATTATCTATCACCAATGATATTCCTAATTGTGGTGGACTGACTGGATTATGCGTCAGACTGTGGGAAACGAGAAGACAGGAATATCCTGGACCGACGTGAAGAACCTAGAAGACCTGGATTTCGCGCATGGATGACTTATGTTTGATGTCACACACAATCGAAGACTTACAAGCGAAAACCGACAAACTGGTCGAAGAAGCAGCCGGCGAAGACAGGACTCCAGGTGAACATAGACAAGACGGAGGTTATGAAAATAACCAACCAACAACAACAGCAGCAGCATCCATCGCCAATCACCATCAACGGGAGGGATTTGAAAGAGGTTACTTCATTCATCACTTATCTAGGGAGCATTGTCTCAACTACAGGCGGAACGGACGAGGATGTCAAATCGAGCGAGAATCGGGAAGGCGAGAAACACATTCATCAACCTGAAATCAATCTGGAAATCTTCGTCACTCAGCATCAACAACAAAATTCGGATTTTCAATACAAACGTCAAGTCAGTCAGTTCTTCTATACGGATCAGAAACTTGGCGGGTCACAAAGAATATTTCCAACAGGTTGCAGACCTTTATTAACAACTGTCTTCGCTCTATACTGAAGATCAGATGGCCGGAAAGAATCACCAACAAGGAATTATGGGAACAAACAAAGCAAGAACCAATCGCCCAACAAATATGCAGGAGAAAGTGGAGATGGATCGGACACTCGCTGAGGAGACCGCTGGGTGACATCGCGCGCCAAGCCCTCGAGTGGAACCCGAAAGGGAAGCGGCGTGTGGGACGTCCAAGGGTGACATGGAGGAGATCGTGTGAAGAGGAGTTGAAAGAATATGGATTAACATGGATGTAGGCGAAAAGTATAGCAGAAGACAGAAGAAAATGGAGACGTGCAGTTGAAGCCCTATGTTCCACTAGGAACCCAAGGGAGCAATAATAATAGTAATAATATAAAGCTATTGGCATTAAATAGCGAAACGTCAGTAAAAACATTATCGTTTGGTTTTTCCTTCATTGGGAAATACAAAAAAACCTTTATTATAATATCATCAGTAGTATTTCCATACAAAGAAGGAACCTCGCAGAATCATAGGTAGAGACCTTACAAATGGGTGAGTTAAAGTGGCATTCAAATCCACTGGGTTAAAGGATCCTGAGGAGACCATTAAAGAGGATAATTCAATTTATCTAATACCCTTCTGCCATAAATGTCATGTCAAATATATAAGTGAGCATAATGGAACGTGGGCATTTAGACTAGAATAGCACAAAATCCTAGAAAAATCTAGTTTAGTTGACTATAATAAGCTGAGGATTCTAGAAAGAAGCTCAAGTATACCATTCATCACACACATTCCACATACAAACCATACAACAGGATGGGATAAGATGACAGTCTTAAAGTCTGATATAACAGAGTAGAGGAAGAGGTTGGCTACAGGATCTTTACTTATCGAATCGACTGAAAATACGTGCAAACGGAATAATTCAACATCTGCCCACCCGGACATCTAGGAAATTTCAATACTACTACGACGAATCCAAAAGAATAAAGAACACCATAAAACTCAAGCTTTGAAGTGATGCAGTCACAATTAGTGATCCGATTATGAATAGTAAAATAATTTCGAAACTTCGTCATCCAGTAAGCAAAACTTCTTTAGTATGGAATTTTGATTGGAGACTAGTAACTAGTGTGATGTGTCTAGTCCTTAGTTTGGTGCAGACTGAATTCCGCCAGTCAGGATTGCGATATGGCAGCCATTCTAGGTAGCTCACCATCATGGTGAACATTGATTTGATGATATTAGATGGTTTGAGGCAGTCGGCAGGAAGTCCAGCCCAGCCTAGATTACTAGCTCGCTAGTTTTCTAGCCGGTCGCAAGCCCGGGTAAAGAGGGAGGGTTGGGGCGTGGTGCTAGCAACTCCACCCCCAAAACTTAACCAAACTGCTACAGAAACTTCAACGCATAGGTATATTAAAATACACTAGTTACTGGTGTCCAATCAGAGTATCCACTACAGTCCTAAGGAGGTCAGTTGCAAGCCCGAATAGCTCAGTGGCAAAGTCACTGACTGCAGTAATCACTGGGGGATGCGGGTTCGAATCTCAGGAGGGAAATGAGTTCCTTCAAGGTTGCAGATACGCCTTACTGACGAGTGCCAACTAGCATGAAACCTAGGTCCAAGGCTTCCTGCAGATTGCCTCCAAACATCTAATAATATGGAACTATCCACAACCACAGGACCCCCTATTTTCACACATTGATTTTTTATATTTTGACTTATTTTTACGCCGATTTTTCGTGAACTCATTTATTCACTGGAGAAACGTCTCTTCTCTTCTCTCTTTCTTTTATTTATTTAATTAAGGTTGCCAATGGTTACACCACTGCATTGATCGATGGAAGCCCAAGTAGACTACCTATTCGTGATGTATACTTGACGTATTTCAATGAATTGAATTATGACTTAATTCTTGGTGATGTATGCTATAAATCGTATTTAGGAAAAGTTGTCACCTTGAAAACTAGTAATAATCTTCTCAACATTTAAACTATACACAACCACTTGATAAATGTAAAACAGTTCAAATGAAAATATTACAGAAGGATGAATAGAGAGTTAGTATATACAGACAAACGAAAAAAATTTCAGTGCAAGAACTGATAATCACTTACACATTCTCTATGTTATGTTGTCTTATGTTGTGTGTTAACAATTTCTGTATACAAAAAAAAATCAGTAAAATAAACAAATATTTATTTAAATGCTCAGTTACTGATCTATTTGTTCGTCTGTTTTTTTTTCATTTGAACTGAGAAATTCATTATAGGAATTATTAAAAAGATGGTTGCAGTGAAGAAAATTTTCTTTTCGAAGAAGTCATCAACTCAGCCGCTGTACATTCGTGTATTTATATCAAATGGATGGGAAAGTTCCAGAATAATATCCGGTCAAGGGTCAAATTAATAAAAATTAAAATTGGAATTAGAATGCCATAATAAACAGGGGGATGGATAAAACAAACAAAGTAGCATCATGATAGCTAAGAAGATTGACATTGTGCAACTAGGGGCTAGAAATGTAGAAATAACAACAACAGACAGGATGTTTGGATAAAAACTAATGTGATGAATAATTGTTTATGCAATCAGGGATTAAATATGTAGAAATAGTAAAATGACAAAATAAACACTAAGTTCGGGTAAGAAAATATGGTAGTGTAAACAGGGATTAAGAAAAACTTGAAATAACATGAATAAACAGGAAGTTTAGATAAGAAAGGCGATGGGATGGTGATTACTAAAAATTACTTGTTTAGTAATCACCATCCCATCGCCTTTCTTATCTAAACTTCCTGTTTATTCATGTTATTTCAAGTTTTTCTTAATCCCTGTTTACACTACCATATTTTCACACCCGAACTTAGTGTTTATTTTGTCATTTTACTATTTCTACATATTTAATCCCTGATTGCATAAACAATTATTCATCACATTAGTTTTTATCCAAACATCCTGTCTGTTGTTGTTATTTCTACATTTCTAGCCCCTAGTTGCACAATGTCAATCTTCTTAGCTATCATGATGCTACTTTGTTTGTTTTATCCATCCCCCTGTTTATTATGGCATTCTAACTCCCAATTTTAATTTTTATTAATTTGACCCTTGACCGGATATTATTCTGGAACTTTCCCATCCATTTGATATAAATACACGAATGTACAGCGGCCGAGTTGATGACTTCTTCGAAAAGAAAATTTTCTTCTCTGCAATTGTCTTCTTATTTACTCCTATGACCCAATGTGTATATTCCGAGGTATGTAAATACTGGAAAACTCGTCAGTTTGTATAATTGCAGGTTAGGGATGTAGTGTTAACGAAATGAGTAGGAGGTCTGGACATATACAGATGAAAATGGTTGTCAAATCTAATAATGCAGATAGGGATTTTAAAAGGTAAATATAACAAATAAACGGGAAGGTTGGACAAGAAAGGTAATTGTTTAATCCTTATTGGTGGGAGTGACTTTTTATGATGGTCACGGTAGGGACAACTACTGAACGTGTTTCTTTTGAACACATATAGTGGGCTTGAGTTTTTCGGTCGCCAGTGCCTCAATTATTCCTGGATTTTTTGATTTCACTCTTTTTGGTAAGTTGGATAGGATCTTGTGTATGACTTTGAAGAACTTTTCAACTTGGGCTGAATGTCCTGAATTCACCAGATGTTCTGTCATCGAACTGTATCCACCTTTACGTTCTCCCCTTGATAACCATGGTGAATAGTGTTCCCGCACGCGTTTTACAACCGAAAGCATGGTACGGTCAATGTACTCAGCTCCACCCGAGCAATTAAACTGGTATATGCATGTTGAGGTGACCCAATTCGACAGCTTGTCTTTCATCATAAAAATACAACTATTCCCTTAGATTTCGAGTGGAATATAAGACTTCAACAGCTCATTTCAGTTTCATAGTGTTCTCTGCAGTCCAACATCGCCAATAAGCTCTCACCCATGCCTAATATGTTACTCTGTGACTCCCAACAGGTAGTTTTCCATTCAGTTTCCACTCGAGGGCTAGCCTTGTACAAGATATCACTCAACTATCTCCTCAGGGTGTTTCTAATCCTTTGCTTCAGCATATTTGTTGGACGAGAGGTTCGTGGCTGGCGCCAAGCCTTTGAACCACATGACAGAAATTACCGATCCTTGTTCCTCTTGCTGAGTGTATCAGATTTACACATTAACTTCAGTTTCATGAAGTTCTGTCTTGCCATTCCGACCTTACCTTCAACATTTTTATACGACCCACCTGAAGTTCCAAAGATGTTGTTTGGATAAGTGAAAGACGTGAATTCCTTCAAATTTCCCCCGTTGATACAGACTGGCGCTTGCTTTTGTTGGTTGGTGAGGATCTGAATCACCTCTGTCTTTTGTATGTTCATAGTAATCATGTCTTTGCTGTATGGCGCTTCTGCCAACTTGTTGGATTTTACTTGTAGAAATTCGTAATAGTAGTGTAACGACAGAAGACAAGGGCCAGTCAACAGATCGTTCATTGAGAAGATCAACAGATATTTATAGATTTTTATGTAGATTGTTACTCCTTATTGTTAGCAGAGAAGTAACGTCTTCTGACTGGTTGTTTTCCTGTTGAAGGTTATTCTATCATCTTTTCGTGGCCGTTTCTTAGACAGCCTGTTGACATATCTGCGAATCTTACCCGCCCACGTTAAGTCTGCTGTGATTGGTCGTTGAGTTCCTCAAGGTTAGGCTTTGTTCTTGTTTTTTTCTCATGACCCCGATTTGGGACGTAAACACTGACGTCAACTGTTGTCTACAATTTTGTCTTGCAGACAGCTCTCACCACAGTAGTTATCTCAGCAGTTAAAGTATTCTATGAAGTGCTGATGGAACAAAACAGATGCGGATAGGCATTATACAGTTTGCTTTGTCGTTTGGTTTTTATTTTAAAGACTGACGGAAACTTCTACTTGAAGAAATAGAAGGTAACTTGGAGTGGACTTTTTCAGATATCCATAAGCAATTTAATATTTACTTACAGTTTAAAATACAAGTCAGCAAAGAGATCTCTTTTCGTAACTTCTCTTTGAAGTTGCACATTTATTCACTGGGTTTATATGTATAATGTTAACTGCTAACAAACGTCAGAGGTCACTGTCAGCTGATAACAATATGTATGAAATATATCAGTTTGCGGGCAACAACAAATAATCTTACGTAACTGAGGGTATTTAGAACCAATTAACTAAGTGATCAGTAATTATTTGGAGACAGTTGATAGGAAACAGGAGCCCCAAGAGTTAAAGATGAATAACACAAAAAGTCACGTAGAGTTTAACATACTGTAGTGTACCTTGAAACTGTACAACTTATCTGATGCCTCGGCTGGGTAGTAAACTCGAAGAGTCAACTTAATAGTAGCACAACAAAGGAGCGGACCACGTGTGTACAGCCACGTCAGAAATTAAATAGGAATGAAGACATTGAGTATCCTGAAGAATAACTCCGGTTGTTGTCACTTCAGAAAATAATCTTCCAGTAGCAGATACACGCCTGTATAACTCTGAATAAAGGATTTTGATTACTCCAATAGTTCTTTTTCATATTCTCTTCACATCAAAATATTTCACCCCACCATTCAATCGACACAGTCAGATGCTTCCTTCAGGAAAACACATAATATTCTAGAACCTGTTGAAGATTGAAGACGTTATCAATATACACTTTTCTCGTCCCGTAACCTAACTTCCTGCTTTTACCGAGTCCCATTTAGTCTTCTTCTCAGATCTATGCAAGCTAGAATATATTATTTCCGTGTTTACAACAGGAAGAGCATCCGTCTCCTTTCCTATAAACGCGGATGACTAACATTCTACACCAGTTAATCTAGTTGAACTATTTTACATCTTCACACATACACTAGGTAACACCACAGTCAATCTAGTCGAAAATTCATCGGGCTCTGTGACGTTAACTCATATCACACGTCTCTTCTGAGAAGTTATTAAAACCCCATATCCCTGATACTTTTCCATTTCTTTCGCTTTCATTGTCTTCCAGTCGTTGTAAAGACTTTTCAAAATCCTACGTTTGAGCACTTTCCTTTCTTCTTTGTTATATTTAAAGTCCGACACCCAACCTCCTTATATCCATCGGTTAATATGGGACTACAGAAATTCATCTGATTTTACTAACTTTCGACTCTGAGTTAACAATAACCTGTGCATAAAACCAAATACTAGCCAGCCAACCAGATCGGGGTGATCTAGATGTCATGCAACTGCCGTTTTGCTCGTCTAGGGAGGAGGAGAGCTCATCAACGGCATACCCGAGGTGTGACTCAGCTGAGTGAGGCTAATCAGCTAAAAATACCCGATTTATGGCTAGGTATTCTACTTGAGTGGACTAGTAGTAACACCATAAATCAAATTCACAATTTGCAAATTAGTTAGCAACTTGCACTGTAGACAGTTCAAGTGGTCAAATTTCGCCGTAGGTTCCATCGGAGACCGAAATTATTCAGACCACCCCCAATATACGACGTTCTTGTTACCATAATTGGTAATGAAGAAAGCCTCGTGTTGTGCGCTGTAAGATAGTAAATTGCATACTGTAATACCATGGACCTCTCTCACAAGAAAAGTAGCATTTTTAAACGTGTATAACATAAGAACTTTTCTAATGACTCAGGTAAGCAATGCCATAAGGACTGATAAAGTTTGTGTGTCAAACCTTTGAGAAAATAAGTGGATTGCTCGTATCCATATTCATCTAGTTAAGAGCCTGGCAGATGTTAAACTGCGGTATATTTGATCATTCTTCATTGGTTTTATGGAATACATTTATTAATATTTAAAAAAAAAAGAAGTAACACTGAAGAAATCCCAGAGTGTCAGGATCACTTATTATCACGATTTAACCTTTTTGATCCTAATACTCCTTGTATAAATCCTGAAGTTTTATGCTTTTTCTTGCTTACATTGCGGCTGTTTATTCTCCAGTGCTGTACACATTTCGTGAGCATCGATGGGGTGCAGTGTTGCCCGCCTAATGAATTCACTGTAAGTTGTTCTGAGGCAAATGGCTTACCCTTTATTTATCCTTGACTGGTGTTTCTTGCATCGACTACACCACTTGTTTATCGAGACTTTAAATATAAGACTTCAATTGGTGGATGGTGTCTAGCAGTGGAATCCAGGATAAAGCGCATTTCGTCCTATTTGGGACTTGTCCACCAACGGGATGTACCTGCATTTCTCAGTGAGTGATGATGTCCCCACCGAGGCTCGAACACAGTACCCATAGTTTCAAACGCCGAAGGGTCATCCACTAGACCATTTGGGCCACGAGAGCCACCTCTTGTGCAGTGGGTCATATTAATTTTATTGAATTTGAGATTTTCCCGTCGATTGATTGGACCGAAGTGCTCGGTCTCAGGTTGACGTGTCGGCTTCTTGTGCAGATGCTTCGACGATGTCTCGGCATTTACTTAGTATTTAACTGATGGATGGTCACAAGCAATGGAATCCAGGATGCGCATTAAATACCAAGTAAATGCCGAGACATCGTCGAAGCATCTGCACAAGAAGCCGACATGTCAACCTGAGACCGAGCACTTCGGTCCAATCAATCGACGGGAAAATCTCAAATTCAATAAAAGATAAGACTTCGGTTAATGAAACCAGTCAGCATATCAGTTCGCTCGCACCTGTGAAGTAAAATATATTAGCGAAACCAGTAGAACATTATCGATACATGTTCATGAACACCTACTGTGGTGAGAGCTGGCTGCTAGCCAAATTGGTAGACAGTAATTTACGTCACTGTTTATGTCCCCAATATTAGTAGTGAGAAAAATAAGAACAAAGACTAACTCAACAACCAATCACAGCAGACTTTGCGTGGGCCGTTGCAGTTGGCATATTGATGATCTGACATTCAAGAAACAGCCACAAAGATATGAAAGGTTAACTTTTTGTGAGAAACAACCAATCAGAAGACTGTGTTTTTCTGCTAACAATAATCTATAATATATACATGAAAATGTATAAATATCTGTTGATTTCCTTAATAAAAGATATGTTCCCTGGCCCTTGTCTTCTTTTGTTACACTACTAGCGATCCAAAGGAGAATACAAATTAACTAGAAGCAATTTTCGAGTCTGCTATTCTTTCTTATCATGTAGTGTACACAAGTATTTCATTTGGTTTCATTCAGGAAGTAAGGTCAAGTTATTCAAAAGATTTTGTCCACATCTTCATATTATTGATTTTCTTCTTGATAGAAGTTTTATTCAGTCTATTTTATCACATTTCAGGCCTGTTGTACAACATTTATCAGTGTAACACCTTTTTCAGTGTGTTGTGCTACACTCTCATCTTAACTTTTTATTGTTCTTGAGTTTAATATTACCGTTCCACGGTGGTTACTTTTAGCTGATCGTCTATGGACTCTCTTTTCCACTGATTGGTGCTTTTTGTTAATTGTTGACGTTAAGAAAGCGTGCATGAAGCAATGCTATCTGTGTTGCATATTCATGAATAATCTCCATTTAGACAGCAATGAAAACAAAACACGTTGTTTAGCGAAGAGTTTGTTTTCAGCGAATTCGTTTTCTTTAGCTGCACAGTAGCATTTATATACCGTAATGAAATCGCTCATCACATTCGTGTTAATTTTGTCGTTTCATGGAGGAGAGAGGTAGAAATCATCACGGTTGTTACTATGACAGTAAAAGTGGCTGAATAATTTTCTTTTGTATGCACAACTCCAGTTTCTCTAACTGAATAATCAAGGCTTCAGCAATTCAGAGGAGATGAGAGTGTTTTGCCTTTGATAAGCTGTTCTTGGTTTTGTACATTACTTTGAAGGAGGCGTTTGTTGAGGTGGAATGACCAGCGCTGACAAGGTGCTCGATTATCCCCCCCCCCTTATAGGGTCATTACTACCTTTCTCCATCCATGAGAGATAGTGTTCTTAAACCCTTTGAGATAGGATACGCGTCGAACGACCAATGTACCTGGCTGGCTTCACAGTAACACGTGAGCTGAAATATGTATACCTTTATATATACATATATATCGCTTTTTCATTCTGCGGGTTTCCAGTGAGCGGTGTGTGTAATCAGCTGACTGAATATTAGTGCAATAATAGTAGTCAGAGTAGAAAGTTATAAAAATTTTTCAACAATAATTACTAATAAATTTTCTAAAGACTTCCTAAGATCCCTAAATGTGTATACGCGTATTGAAAAGCTCATTACTGAGTCTGTTGCTTGTCAAAACTCTAAAATACATAACTAAAGATAGCGACTGACCCTTCCGGGTTTCACAGAACATATATGGGTGATACTCTCATTATCTTCAATAATAAAGAGAGTTCGGGAGACATCCTGAATTTTTTCGACAGCTACCACTCTGAAATCCAGTTGGCATTAGAGAAGGAGTCTGACTCAAAAATATCTTTTCTGGACATTCAACTAATAAAACGTGGACAACAAAATAAAACACTAAAAAGATCCATTCACGGAAAGCCAACATGGAACAGACAACTCTCAAAACTGAGTGCCTCTATAAACAAAACAAAACCTGATGCGTTTATTGAGCCGCAAAATTCGTAACATTTGCAGTCCTGACACTGAACACTCTGAAAAGAATTCTGCCTGGAAATGGCTACCTCAGACGTTTGCTCACAAAACAAATGATGCCTAAACCAGTAAATCTGCGCACACCTTCTCCTTCTAAAAGACTTCCGGAATCACAACCGGTTGTGTGAAAAAAAAAACTGCAGCTTATATTTCCTAATTCGTATTATTAAACAGAAACAACCACAGAAGGTTTCAGCGTAACAAGCGGCTTTCTGACCACTTTGATATCAGTGAACAAAATGAAACAGTGTAACGCAGCAGAAATTTGAGCGATACCATAATACTAAACACCATGAACAGTTTTCAGATTTATATTTCATAAGCAACACACTAAACACCTTTAAAATTTACAAGTATGGTTAAAAATGTAGTTATAAAAAAATAAATGTACACTTCATCTGGAATGTAAAAATAAGGAAATATTACTGACTAATGCTAATGTACTAATGGTATCTTCTATAGTAATTTTCTGCAAAGCTTGCACATGGTTGGTTAAGGCATAGAGACAGTAAGTTTCGACATGTTGTATAACAAATTTCTCTGGCACCAAGCGCTCTTTTGCATCGATCGTCGCATGCGAGACTACGCATTAAACATTGAGTTTTACAATCACCTCTCACCAGAATCTTTTTACTCATCACTAAGTTGACGGAGAAGAGTAGTATAAGAACTGCTTGAAGCTGTCAATGAATAAATAGAAATCCAACAGAGATGTATTAGGTTAGAAAAAGGGTTGAACTTGGAAATAAAAGGCATAATGCCTAATATTTAAATTGGATTAATTTCTAAATAAATATAGGTAAAAATCTGTGATCAACTCGTAAAAACAAATCTAATCTTTGCAAACGAACTCTTGAAAATTAATCTGATGCTCACTAGTGAGTGACTTGCTACAGGACGAAGTCGTGACCAGTGAGGTCTATCCTCCGATGACATTGGTTGGTGGTCGTCCTAAATCACGAATGGATGGGAGTTAGAATTCATGCAATGGCCATTGCATCGGTTCCCAGTCGCTGAATGGTATACGAGCTTGCTTGCTTGTAACCGGAAGGTTCTGGGTTCGAACCCCGGCTGTGTGTGGATGCGTACTGCCGATGATTCCCAAACAAGTGGGATGAAACAGCTCTCCAGTACTCTATGCTGATTTTCAGTGGTTCTCTAACGGATATCAATCCGTGATCAACTCGTAAAAATAATTCAAAAGTGGATATAGTTTCCTCAAAAAAGAATTTTCTGCCCGAAATAGTTAAATCAGATTTTGTTTTTGGTTAATTGGTGGTATAGGTGTATTTTAACTACTACAAAGGTGTCTCAATCGACTCACCACATTGTCATATTAGTTCTACAATCTGACAACTTTTTAAGTCTACTAATATTCTATTTGTTTTTCAGTAATAAAACTCTGTGTGCTTTGATTTTCTTGCCAAGAAGAAGATTCCCAATTGAGAAGTTCAGGAGAATTTCTAATTAATCAGCTAACATTGGTTGTCTTTCTCAAACTCTAGATTATTAGGAAGTAATCTGTAGAGCGAGTAGATCAATAGTTCATTGAGTAAGGTATCACGAGCACCATATCATTTTAAAAGATCTCACCTTACTTTCCTGGAAGTTGGTAAGCTAACCATCTAGCATGAACTTTTATTACCACTGTGGTGAGAGCTGGCTGCTAGCCAAATTGGTAGACAGTAATTTACATCAATGTTTACGTCCCTAATATTGGTCGTGAGAAAAATGAGAACAAAGGCTTTGCGTAGGCGGATACAGTTAAAATACAGATCATCTGACATTCAAGAAACAGCCACAAAGAGATGTGAGGTTAACTTTTTGGGAGAAACAACCAATCAGAAGGCTGTGTTTTTCTGCCAACAACAGTCTATAATATGTACATAAAAATCTATAAATACGTGTTAATTTCCCTAATAAACGATCTGTTGCCTGGCCCTTGTCTTCTCTTATTACACTACTACTACTATCAGGTTAATGAACAAACGTCGTAGTACGAAAGTAATTATCATGTTAAAACTTTTTATTTCACACCCCGGAGAAGAGTTTCGGGCAAGGAAGGAGCAACTGTTCAGTACCCCTTGGGAATTTTCAATGGTACTCTAACACTGTCATCAATGTGTTAACAAATTTCAAAGCAGTCAAATCCTGAAAAAATCAATTCTTGAAAATTAATGTGTTTTGTGGAACAATTAGAGAACACAGATGAAATGAAATTGAATTCAATGTATCCTACAATGTCTGTTTCTTCTTGGTTGGCAAAATGTTTTCATATATGAATAGACATTAAACTAGAAAAATTACTGCAAATAAGGAGTAACTAAATAGTCGGCAGCTTAGAGGTCTGGCTCACACATCCCTAACATTACGATTCTATGCAGCAATAGGAGAGTGAGTATGGAAACATCAAATTCTGCAGTAAGCATATAATAATTCGTTTTCCGTTGTTAGGTAAAACTGTCAGTTGTTGAGTTGCCTTTCAGCGTGTGGAACGTTAAATATTTGCCTTCTAAGATGGTATTAATTTGTAGCCTGATATTGTATGAAAGGTCTGCGTAACTGTACACTTATGAATTAAGAACAAGTCGACTTACTAACCTATGATTTTGATATGGTGTATTCCATTGTGAAAATTACTTTAAATTCAATAAATTCCACACACACACACACGCACACACTGCACAGATAAATTCAGTTGTGAATATTAAATATGAACCGACCTACAATAACAAAATTCAGCTTGGGCACTACGGTAGAATATACGGTTGTATTTACTGATGACGTTTCGAGTACAAATTATTACCACTCATAATCATATCAAGTCACTACACACAACTTTCTTGCTTCACTTAAATACAACACTGTGTGATTTTATTAAAAATTAAATTCTATCCATAACAAAATTCAGCGTTATGAACAGAGAATGAATAAACATTGACTCAAAATCATGCGGATCCATTGTATTCCGTGGATTCAGCTGAGCTGCATACAACCTGCGAACCTATGAAATGCAATACATCTATGTTATTCTGCACCAATGTTTACTCTTTCTCTCTTCAAATTTGTAAAGTGGGAGTGTTGTGTGAAACTAAACACTTATTTGACTGCAAGTATCATTCGTTTAGAAAAAACATAATTGCTTAAGATGAGTTATATTTGACCGATCAGAATTGGAAAGTCGAGACAGACATTCATCGCTCTAATAAAATTAGTTCCGAAATTTTCCAAACCCAGTCATCACTATAAAGAATAATATTCTCGTTTTCGGTTAGTTCCTCTATTTATCATTATTATTTTATTATTTTATCCTTTAATTCCTAGAGGAACATAGGGCTTCAGCTGCGCGCCTCCATTGCCTTCGGTTCTCTGCCAACTTTTCACCCCGCTCCAAGTTTGTCCACATGCTTTCATCTCCTCTTCACATCACCTCCCCCAAGTCATCCTCGCACTGACGACCAACTCGCCGCTTCCCTTTCGGGTTCCACTCGAGCGATGGCTTGTCTAGTGATGTCACTTGATGGTTTTCTCAGAGTACGGCCAATCCATCTCCTGCCTATTTGTTTCCCAATCGGTTCCTGCTGGGTTGGTTCGCTCATTGCCAGAGATCCCTGTTGGTGATCTTTTCCGTCCGGCCATCTGATCTTGAGTATTGAGCGAAGACAACTGTTAATGAAGGTCTGAAATTTGTTTGAGATGCTCTTTATGACGCGCTGGTCAAGTCTCTGATCCGTGTAGTAAGTAGCACTGACTTTACATTGGAGTTGAAAATCCGGATCTTATTTTTGATGGTGAGTGCTGTTGACTTCCACACAGACTTGAGAGTAATGAAAGCTTGTCTTGCTTTTCCGATTCTGGCTTCGATATCCTCGTCAGTTCCGTCGGCCTGTAGTTGAAACGATGCTTGACAGGTGGGTAGGTAAAGGGGATAGTTTCTTTCAGGTTCCTCCCATTTATGCTGGCTGATTGTTGTCTGTTGCTGTTGGTTTTGGCAAGGAATCTTCATCATCTCTGTTTTATCTATAATCACTTGAAGTCCTATCTTTGATGCTTCTTCTGCCAACTTGTTGCTTTACACTTGTACATCTTCCAGTTTGTGGGAAATCAGACTTATCATCATATATCAGTTCCTCTATAAGGATTGAAAACTTAGTACTCACATCATCAAAAGCATCTTCGGCAGGCTACAGAAGACTTGTATCACACAGCTACTTACTTCGCTATCTTCATAGTGAAGATCAAATGGCCAGTCAGAAAGAATCAGCAACAAGAAACTCTGAGAAGAAACCAATCGACTAACCTATTGCTCAAGAAATTTATGGAAGCAAATGAAGATGGTATGGTTATACGATAAGAAGACCGTCTAATGACATCATGCTCCAGGTACACCATTGAGACGAGTCTGAGTGGGAAATAAGGGTGGCATAGAGGAGATCATGTGAGCAGAAGAAAAAGAGAGACTATGAGCAGCCTTGGAACCTCAGCTAAAGAGGACTGTAGAGAATAGGAAAAAAGAGGAGATATTCCGTTAAAGCTATATGTTCCACCCGGAACTCAAGGCAGCAGTAACATTACCAATCTCAATTTCTCACAGTATAAAACGATTGGATAGTATAGTCCCCCTCGTGCAGTAATCATCAAGTAACTTACTCCAGTAAATTTCACTAATCAAACTTATAAAATTTGTAAGAGTAATTGATGAACAATAATTCAACGCAGTGTTTAATTACAAGCTGAAATCAAGCAGAGAGATCAATGAAAACCAGCCGGGAGCACTGTTACACAACTATTTCGCCCTATTCCTGGATTTTTCATCCGTGTGCACCCACAACCCCACCATAAGAGATCGAACCCTGGACCTTCGAGGAGGTTACGAGACTCATTGTGTGCTCAACGATTAAATAAATAAATAGTACGCTAATTAATTCATATGCTGTAAACTACAATTCTTTGCTAAGCGTTTACCTCACCCTGCACCACTGTATATGACAGTAAGTGCTTCTACTTTAGAAAAATATTTTATATAAACATGATTTTGAAAAAATAGATTATGAATAAACAACACAATTGAAATTGTTTTAACATACCTTCATTTCTGTTAACATGAAATGTTAAATAATAATGAAATCAAGTTTTTTACACACGCTTAAATTTATACCATCAAGTAAGTTGATAGTGAAGAGCAAAATAATTAACGCGATAATTAATTGGTGCATATATATATATGCAGATATGCATATGTGCAAAATGTGAGCGAACACTTGGTAATAGCGTCCTTGCTCGCATACACAGATAGATAGGTAAGGAGTAACATTACGTCAACATGTGATTCAGTCGAGAATAACGGAAGTTAGCATGGCTATTTTGGCAAATGAATGGATGGGTGGGTGGATGGATGGATGGACGTTTGTAGACACGTGAAAGACGTAAAAGTCATACATTATGTGCATCTCGTTTTTTGCAGTTATAATTAACAGTTAACACTTTTATTTCAGTAATTCCTGTAATCCTTCCACGCGTGTATTCAATGTACTTGTCTAAGTATTACTGTGTCCAATTTATTATCACTGTTATTATTATTATTGTTATCGTAAGTTGAGCAATTAAAATTTTCAGTGTCAATAAATCTTCCATTTCAAGTAACGTGAGTATTTTAATGACCCAAAGTGTATATATATTTTTTAAAAGGTAGGATGTGAATTAATTTAGTATTTCGGAAACTCAAGTACATCAGATAGTACACCTGTTATTGAAAAACAATAACAACAAACCAAACAGACTTGAGTTGATTCGTCGTCAAATATTTTTTGTCACATTACACTACACCTTTATTTAGTAGATAAACATTTATAATAAATTTGAGAAATTCAATTTACCCTTATGATTTGTTCATCCAACAGAATTAACCATAAAGAATTGTAATGGGACCTTTTTGATGTGGTTTTGTTCTCTGAGCTGGATGGTTAGTTTGCGAAGCTTTCATCACCCTATTAGGTGACATCTTCAGCGCATACCACTTCAATTTCAAGTGAGTCTCTAGATTTCTCCACGAGTTTATTAATCATCCCTCCTGGTGACCTTGGACGTGATTGGTTGTTTTTCTGTGTTTTCACATCTTCTAGGTTACTTGTACTGGAACTGATTGTTTCTTTGACTTGAACTTTGACCCTTTGTGTGTGAGGTTTCTTTCTTATCGGTTGATAAATTTTGTCTATCTCGATGTGTCTATTGGTTGGTGATTCACTGGAATGCCAGACTGGCTTCTAAAAATTCTCTAGCATTCTTGTTATTTCCACTGTCTAATATTTGAACGTTGGTTGTCCCAGTCGAATTGATGTCCGTGGTTGTCTGTATGTAGTGATATGAGCGAGTGGATGTCATGTCTTTTGACGGCTAGCTTATGATCATGGATACGAAGACGAAGGGGACGTCCACTTTGGCCAATGTAGTGTTTTTCGCAGTTGTTACAATTTATTTTGTAGATTATTATTATTATTATTATTATATAAGCTTTATTCCAAATCAGTACTTGTGATACAGAATGGAATTCTCAGCATTTTACTACAATATTGCATCCAGTTTTTACATTAACAATAAATAAAGTTCTACATAGATTAAAGATTATCTCAAACAACATATTAGTATGTCGGTAGCAAAGCCAAAGTTAAAATGTTTGAAGGTGTTACAAAAGTAGATACTACTAGCATATTTACTGGCGTAAGCGATAGCAAAATGGTCGAGATATACAGAGTGTAAAAGAACAACAAGAATGTTTTAACTAGAGTTTGCAAGGAAGAGAAAAACAAAAGCAGCACTTAACAAAAAATAAAGACAAAAAAGGTAGAGAGAATGGAAAAGAGAGAAAACGTTGTACCCATAAATGATGTGAGTTGGAAAGACGAGATTCATTGGTTCTAGTGACTATTTAATAAGTTAAAGGTTTCATGCCTGATGCATTCTTTATCACACAGAACACGGGCTAGGTAGGGTATGGATGAGTTTTTGTACTTACTAGTGCGGGCATATAGTTTCCTATATAGACTTCTTGTTTTCCCTGAAGAGATACATGGGGAGAGTTGTGAGTGTAGAGGGTGTTGTGAGTCAGATAAAATGGACTTCGCCCATTTTTCACATGAGTCCATGTGCCTGTCCACCAGAATGTTAACAAGCTGGCTAAGTGGTAAACTGCTTACCCTGCTGACAACCTTTAACATCCTACGTAATAAGGTATAGTCTTTCTTCAATAGCCCAGGAAAGACTAAGGGGGAGCAATAGAGAATTATAGGCAGAATACGGGAGTTAACAAATTGTAGTAGTAAGGGTTGGGTTACACCAGAATGTCTTAACTTCTTGATGTAGAAGGTAAGACGGTATATTTTCTTGGAAATCGTCAAGATATGAGACGACCAGGAAAGATCAGAAGATAGAGTGACGCCTAGGTATTTAATTTCCGACTTAGTTTCTATTTCAGTGCCATCTATGTTGCACACCTCGTGAGCGCTAACCAGTTTGTTTAGGTCAGATTTATGCCTAAAGGTGAAATTAACTGTTTGGCATTTGGAGGGGTTTAAGGTTAGACCGTTTTCCTTGGACCATTGGCTAATTTCTGATAAGAAGCCATTTAGTTTAGAGCAGTCATTTTGACATTTGACAGGTAAAGATACAGTTAGGTCATCAGCATATTTGACAAAGTTAATATCATTTGAAGACGGTAGGTCATGTAGGAAGAATGAAAAGAGAAGTGGGGAGAGTACAGCACCTTGGGGGACACCAGATTCAGTGAGCACAGCAGAGGAGGATTGACCTTTGTATACGGTGTACTGCATTCTGTTTGAAAAGTAGGAATGCAACCACTTAGTGACCCAAGACTCGGTTTGTGTCGTGGATAGCTTATTTAGCAAGAGACTTCTAGGTACAGAGTCGAAAGCAGAAGTTTTGTTGAAGTATGCGCTGAAGATGTCACCCAGTAAGGTGATGAAAGCTTCGCAAACTAACCATCCAGCTCAGAGAACAAAACCACATCAAAAAAACTGTGACAATTTCCCACGCGGGCCTCTCGTTATCTTCAGCCACTGTAGCGACTAGCGATCAGTATTGATTTGGAACTGTTGACCGAGCAAATAACGTCACCATCAGTCTAACACCCATAGTTTTGCTAAACATTATTTCTCGATCGCTGGGTACTTCTGGTATCCTCGACGAGTCCTTCGCTCTGTTTTAGCACTGCATCTGTTCTGTAGTCACTGGCATCTGTGGACACTGTAAACTGTTTCTCAGGTAAAAGTAGTAACTTCTCTGGTGTTCTAAAAGCTGTTTAATGCGGTAGAATACCTGCGAATCTTCCGACCAAACAAACTGTGATTCACCTAAGCAAGCCAGCAAAGCTGGGGGACTGCCATCTCGTTGAAGTTCTCCACAAATCGACTATAAAACTCTGCTCTCCCCAAGAAATTTCTTAGCTCTCTCGTGAAATTCAGGGACGTAATGGTCTTTATCGTCAAGATCTTCTCCAGTAGCAGTTTTATTTCACTGCTGCCTACTTTTTGACCCAACAGCGTAACACTCCATTTGCCTATCTGATATCTTGTTTTACTGATACGCAAGCGGAACTCTTCAATGAGTTTTAACACGGCTTTTACATGGCTCATATGATCGCCTTCGTTTTGACAGTAGATGATGAAGTCGTCACCGTAAACCTACACGTTCTTAACGCCTTTAAGTAACAACGTTATTGTCTGCCTGAGTGTAAATGGTTTACCTACCAGTCCGAACGACATGCGCATAAACCGATACTGTTTCTGACCCACGATGAATGCTATCTTATCTATCTTTCTGTTTAATCTGTATCCACCAGTATCCTGACAAAAGGTCGAGAACTTTAAAATAATCCGCGCTTTGTAGCCGATCAGAGGTTTCTACTACAGTTGGCACTGCAAAAATCCCAATTCTGTCATTCTATTTAGCTGCCGGAAATCAATAACAAATCTGTGCCTCCTATCTGCTTTCTTACTGAAATGACTGCGGAATTATTTGGGCTGTCAGCCTCTTCAATAATACCATTTTGTAACACTTCCTTCACTTCCCGGTCAACTTCTCCTTCTAAACGAGACGGAGCTCTTTGTATTGTGAATGGTGTCATCTTCCGACCAGTCAATGTTATTTCATCCTCCACCCCATCCCAACGACCGTAGATGTCTGCATCTATCTCGGTATTCTTATACAAGCTAACAGATCCGTAATTTGTGGTCACAACCCCGTCTTGCATCTTAATTATACCGCTAATATCTCGCAGAAAATCATTCACAGGTGTTGTTCCCCGTAACTGAGGCATAACAATAAACAGAAAGGTTAACTTGCGATCCCCAATATGAACTCTACAATTTGACACGCCTATGACTTTTAATACATGTCCGTCTACTGTTTGATTTGTCAGTGAACACGATCCGATGCGTCGGTGGCACAGTGGTTAGGATTCTCGCCGACCATGCACATGGTCCGAGGTTCGATCCCCTACCGACGAACACCTGATATCTATGGTCGGCCTGCAAAATTTGGGCTACCGATATCCATGCTGAAAATTCCATACTTGTACCAAAAATACAGTGTGGAATCAAGCTGTAATCAAAAATATAAAATAAAATAAAATTAGTGAGACTGCTGCCCCTGTAGATGTTGAACATACGACTTATTTGCCTTCCACTAGCAACTTAGAATACATGGGCCCCAACTGATCGCGTCCACTACTTCTAGTCTTATCGGAGAGTATGGACACACATTACAGTGCCCAGAATTTTCTCTTCCTCGTCTTCCTGAGCAGCATCTACTTCAGTGTCCTGATTCGCTACAATCAGAGCGCTGGTCTTTTCTGGCACTTAGTAGGAGCACCACCACTTCGCGCTGCAAATCTTTAATTTCCTGATCCCAATGGTTCATCCTCGGTGGCTCTATTGAAGCTACAGCTGTGCTCAGTATATATTTTGTCATTTTGAAAACTCATTGATGTCCATAAATTGTGCAGAGCTGACCAGTTGTAATCACTGAGCAGTGTGTTCCAGAACAGTTCCAATAAACTTGGACACCAACAGTTTTGTCTCGGACTCTTTATTAAGTGTGGGAATAGCGTTGCGAAGTACGCTTGTCATCTTCACCATTAGTACAACTGGATTTCTGTCCAGTCTCAGCTTCATGGCACTGAACTTCTGTACTACGCGCCATCTGTCAATCTTGCTGTCAGACTCCGCCGCCAACCATTCAACAAGTAACTTCTGCGTCTCCCCACTACCTGTCCGCCCCACAACTTCGTACACTGTCTTTGCCCTACACCTCAGTAGAGTTCTAAAAACAACCATCTTTACTATTGAACCCTGTGAACCCACCAACTCAGTGACAGAACAGAAGCCCCTCAAGGAACTCTTTATGTCTCGTTCTTCGAAAGCAACAAGCTATAGGATCTTCATTTCCCCACTGTAGCGGCACCTTCACACTTTCTTAGCCATATTAGATTTCGGCTAAGTCAGAGGGGAATTAATTGTTCTGATTGGCTCTCAACTGGCTCAAGGTCAGACGAGTTGTTCAATGAAGTCATTTCATGTCCACAACGTAAACTAGGTCCAGATTTGGTCGCCTCCTATCACTCTATTTCACGCCACACTAGTTATTTGAATTCACATGTCTACTTTTAGTACTCTCCATCTTCATTGATTACGTCCCTACCTAGAAGAATACTTGTCAACAGAGATTACCCCGTAAAGTTCACCAGCTGGTTAACAAGACTAGTATACTCTGAAGTTTAATTTAGCGGTACTCCCACATGTCGCTATAGTAACGTATCAAGTAAGTCATGGTTTTTTTACTCAGGATGACTCATCTTTTGCTAATTTCACAGCACATGACATCTTATGGTAATTAAAGTTATTTGTCACACAATGTGTTACCTACTTATCACAGACATTTGTACCGAGAAATCAAGCATTATCTGTATTCCCTTCAAAGTTGAAAGTAAATTTGATTTAATAAAAATGTAATCTAGGATTACATAATAATAATTTGAATGAATTGAAAGTTTCCATAGAAAGTCATAAATAGGAGTTTCAATGTTTTTATTTTATAGACAATCATAGCATTCACCTATGAACTTAATTTTCTACTTTCTAAACTGGTTAAAATGAGTGCTGGTT